ATTAGCTCTGGCTGAGGAGCGAATACGAGATCGAGAATATTTTGGAAGCGGGTGGGGGTAGAAACCAGCTGGGATAGACCCAATTTGGCACTGAATTGGAGAAGATGAGCACAGTTGGCACATTTCGTCATATTTTTAGGCCAATCAATATGAGGGGCATTAAAATCACCGACAATCAGGAATGGAATCGTCGAATTAGCCAGAATTTTCGAAAATAGTTGCAATAGAGGGTCATAGGCGATGCGGTGTTGCGGATGATACGCAAGTATCATTTTGATAGAAGGACTAGAGGATTTCTCCATATGCAAATCCACCACAAGAACTTCGAGGTCGGTTTGAACAGCAATAGAGTGAATGATAAGATGATCACGGCATATGATCGCAACACCACCACCATGACCGAGACGATCTTTGCGATAAATCGAATATCCAGGAATTTAGTAGCGTGTCAAGAATGTCGGGTTTTAGCCATGTTTCAGTAGCGAATATAATATCATATTGTTTCAGAACCAGCATGGAATTAAGTTGATCCAATTTAGGGAGAACCGAACGCATATTGATCAAGGCAGCAGAAATGCAATCCGATTTCGGAGTTAATTGTGTTTCCTGGCGGATTTTACGATCCAGGCCGGCGGTTCGGAGCCTTGAGGGTACTGGCAACGAATCAGTCGGAGGTTCCTTACGGTCCAAAGGGTTTTCCCAGCCGCATTGTTCAATTTGATTGCCTCTTGCCACACGTTGTGGTAAATAATAGTGTCGGTTTGAGAATAATTGGGACGGGCAATCAAACCGGAACTGCGGTTTTCCGTCTTGTTGAAGCAGTTGAGGAAATTCATGGCATCCTTCTGGGACTCGAATTCGGCAATCAATGGACGAGGAGAGGTAGATGTCGGCGGACGAGTGCCGCCTAGCCGAAAAACCTTCTTAGGGGCTTTGGAATTGGGTGAGCCCTGGATTTTGTCTTCAATTGCTTTCAAATCCGGTCCGTCGCTTTCGGCCAGGCCACGAATAAATAGTTGTTTATCGCGTAGTTCGGAAGTTTGCTCATCGCGAATCACTTGCTTCAAGGTTGCAATAGGCAATGAAGGCATATTGGCAGCAGCTTTGGAAGCATAAGTAGGGAAAGTGGTAGCTTTTTTGGAGCTAGCTTCCTTTAGTTCTAGAATGAGCTTCTGGAGAGTGGAGACTTGTCCAGTCAAGAAGTCGATTTGATTCGACAGGAATTTGTTGTGTTGCACAACCTGTAGCAAGGTATCCATGATAGTGAAATTATCGGCTTCACCAAATTTGTAGGTATCATCCATGGTGGAATCGGGATATCCATTGGGCGGTAAGAAACCCTTGAAGCCGCTTTTAGGCTTTTCGGGTGTCCCAGGGTGCAATCTTTTGGCCGGGGGTTGATGCCCAGTAGGGGATTCAGTAGTAGTGGGCAATACCATACTACAGTAAGCCGGGGCAGGGACAATCGGGGGGAGCAGCCGGCTGCGGCGAGAACAGGGGGAGGGTATATTTCAAAAGAGAGTGTTATCCTACCTTATCAAATTTTGGGGTGTATCTCTGTGTGGATGTCACTTTCGAGGCCCGATTTTAGGGCCTTCCGGTGCATAAAATGTTCTAATACCCAGTCACTGGAGGGAATAGACCCTTCTGTTACCAATGGCGTTTTCAGAATTTCGATAACATACAAGTTTACAAAGCAAAGATGTGTTTTTTCTTTTTTCTTTTTTCCACTGGTTAAATTTAATAAGATAAAAGATAAGTAATAAAGGACATTAAATTAGGAAAACAGGTACCTCTCACGGTAAAAATTACGTTATTGCCTAATCCGCTTCACACCGGGGCAGGTTGGTTACCTGTTTAAAACTTACAGGCCATGTACCGCCGCCATTAGAGAAGAATTGTCCTATTTGAGGGTAAATCATGAAGAGGCTTGGTATGTTTTGGAAATCTAAAAACTGCTTTTCAGATGCTTTTCTGTTCATGCCAATTATCCAGAATTATCTCGCAAATCGCCATCTCGAAGCTAGTTATTTTCAAAATGCCGGAATTATGCACCAGAAATTTTTTCTGCAAAACCCCCGAGACAATGTTTAAAGGGATAAGGAAGGCCGAGATATCACGGCTCATCTATAATTGGCAACGAGCCAACCGGAAAAGCTAAAACAAACAAAAAACAATAGGTCGGGCGAGGCAAGAGAGTGCAGAGAAGATTTATGACTACTACAGTGTGTGTCAAAACGATAGAGCCACCTCTTTGGACGCTATTATCTCGGCCCTTGTTGGGTTTAACGCCAAGCTAACTTGCAGGTCTTGTAGCGCTCGAAAAGGTGCATTTTCTCATCTACTTGAAGTTTTTCCAAAATAGAGCACACGATTTTGATAAGGAAAAGGACAAATAGAGCCAAAAAACAGAAGTGCAAAACGATAGAGCCACACTTTACATACCATTAGCATCAGGTTTGAGCTTGCAAATTCCATGATACTAGGGTTGAAATGATAAAAATGAGAGATAATGAAAAATGCTCCCGCAGTCCGTTTATATAGGCTACCATCACTTCCGGTCTATGCTAATTATTCCTAACAAAGAATTTTTACAAAAAATTAAATTTAATGTCGAAAACAGATGATTTTGTTAAAGCTCATAAGCGTCTTCTCCAGACCGTTGCGCACCTAATGACGTACCATACATACCTTAAACTTCATCCCCTATCGAGATATCCTCCGGACAGACAGACGGAAGTGGATGCAAAATGGCACACACACACACCCACACACACACACACACACACACACACACACACACACACACACACACACACACACACACACACACACACACACACACACACACACACACACACACACACACACACACACACACACACACACACACACACACACACACACACACACACACACACACACACACACACACACACACACACACACACACACACACACACACACACACACACACACACACACACACACACACACACACACACACACACACACACACACACACACACACACACACACACACACACACACACACACACACACACACACACACACACACACACACACACACACACACACACACACACACACACACACACACACACACACACACACACACACACACACACACACACACACACACACACACACACACACACACACACACACACACACACACACACACACACACACACACACACACACACACACACACACACACACACACACACACACACACACACACACACACACACACACACACACACACACACACACACACACACACACACACACACACACACACACACACACACACACACACACACACACACACACACACACACACACACACACACACACACACACACACACACACACACACACACACACACACACACACACACACACACACACACACACACACACACACACACACACACACACACACACACACACACACACACACACACACACACACACACACACACACACACACACACACACACACACACACACACACACACACACACACACACACACACACACACACACACACACACACACACACACACACACACACACACACACACACACACACACACACACACACACACACACACACACACACACACACACACACACACTGCTTCGATTTTGCGCAGTATGCAAATTATTTTTTCGGACGTTAAGTAAAATCGACCCGTATATTTGTCTTTTTGCTAGAGATGTTACGCATATAAATCCGATATTAAGAGCCGCATATCGTATCGGAATTGCACATCGGCATAAAAATTTGCTTATTTCGAAACGATCATCGTATCGGAATTGGAGCGTGACCAACTCAAATGGGATGATCGTATCGGAATAAGCTGGTCATATCGGAATAACAGGCTAATTGGTATGCAAATTATCCTTATGCGCAAGCTGAAGTAAAAGCCTGAAATAATCTTGGAATAAGGTATAATTTACATACGAGTAGCAACTATTTTAGCGGTCGTCGCCCGAGCTGCTTTTTTTTGTATTTGCGTTGCATTCAGAATTTGACTTTTATTCCGATATGAAGCCGCTTATTGCGATATCGATATCGGAACTGCCGGTCGCTTATTCAGCTGCGATGATCGCATTTGAATTGACCCTTGTCATCTTGAATTCCGATATGCATATCGGGCTGACCGCCGGAAATAGCATATAGCATTTATATGCGTAACATCTCTACTTTTGCCGATCGTAAAAATGGCTTGCCTTGGGAGACGTAAAGATGTGTAGAACACAAATTAACGCCTTGTGACATCGCTGCACCCTATAAGAGCAATGGGTTTCGAGGTGTGCGTGCGAGCGTGCGTGCGCGCGCATGTGTGTTTGGGTTTGTGTGCCTTTGCTCGCCTTTACCTCACTCTGTATAGTTGTGTTTTGTAAGCACAGATCATCTCGCAACTCCGCGGCCACGTAGGTCTTGCCGACTGGGAAAGACTCCATCAATAACGATTGGTAGTTCGAAGTCACTCCCGACGCTATACGGTTCTTTCTGAAAGCCATATTTAGTAAGGATTCCACACATATCAGGTTGGAACGAAAGTTCTGTCGCCAAGTTTTTGGAAGGCTGGCTAAACTCGTAGTGTAGCTCTCGGCCTGACTGGTTCCGGGGGGAGGGTCCTGGGCCCTCAAAATCAAGAACGGCCGAGATACTGGCCCAAGAAGATTTTTCAAAAATTACGGAAAGAGTTTTTGCAAGTTATTTCTGCATATAGACATTTGCATGCGATACCTTTAACGTCAATCGATGGTTGGCGTACACGATTTCGAAAATCACCATTTCGAAAATCACCATTTCGAAAATCACCATTTCGAAAAATCACGATTTCGAAAAACACCATTTCGAAAGTCACCATTTCGAAAAGACACCTTTTCGAAAAGACACCATTTCGAAAATCACCATTTCGACAAGTCACGATTTCGAAAATCACCATTTCGAAAATCAGCATTTCGAAAATTACCATTTGGGAAACATTACAGAAAAAACTGATTTTCGTTGGCTGGTTTGAGGTTCGGGGGCCTATTTTTCCACTGGAGATATGATTAATTTCATTATAGACACCGCTAAAACAATTTCTATTACATCACTAGTCATATCCGAGAAAAATAATGGTTTTTCGACACGGCAATTTTTATACCCGTTTGATGACCGGGTCTTTTCCAACTGGGGTTTTTTCGAAATGGTGACTTTCGAAATGGTGTTTTTCGAAATCGTGACTTTTCGAAATGGTGATTTTCGAAATGGTGTCTTTTCGAAATCGCGTCTTTTCGAAATCGTGACTTTCGAAATGGTGTTTTTCGAAATGGTGATTTTTCGAAATCGTGATTTTCGAAATCGTGACTGGGAATCTCAATCGATAGCTCTCGAGGAGTAGATATCGATTGATGTTGAGATGATCAAAATTGGACACTGGATGGCCGAGATATGGCCCCTTGAAGTTTAGCCCATTTCTTAGAACTTTTACCGATTTCCCATACATTTTTTTCAAAATTCGCTCCGCTAGTACAAAAATAAAGCGGCAATTCTCGGGCTGTCCGTCATTGCCCTTTTGGATGGTATATAACACTACAGGGCGGCTGATAAGTATCCGGAATGACTTTAAAATTGCTCAACAAAGAAAGCTCCTTCAGTTTTATGACTTGTTTTCTTTTTTATTGTATAGAACATGGCTTCCGTAAAGTTTTTTACAACTGATCATGAAACATCTGACCTGCTTAGAATTTTGGCACGCCAAAATCAAACTTTAATTTTGCGGTCAGGGCCGTTTTTCGCCGAACTTAAAAGTCACATATCTTGAGATAGAAATGTTTTTGAAAAGTTTTCCCAACAGATCTTGCCATGGCTCCAGGCGCTGATCATTTTGACATATTAAAAACCTGATTTGGTTGTGAGACCGGATTTTTGGGTTTTCCGATTCCGGCCAATTTTCGAGATCCGGGATTTTAGGACGAAGGATCTTTGGCCTGCCAATAGCCCGGATCAGAATCTATGGGATTTTTCTGTGTGTGGATTCATAAAACAGGAGCTACCAAACATAAAAATCAACAATACAAACTATCCGCGTCGAGAATCTACCAAGATTTGGAACGAATCGTTTAGAAAATACCCGCGGCGCACAGCCATGTTTGGGCCGTCATAAATTAAATCATACAGGGTGTCCCAAAAAAAGTGCCCAAGTTTGTCCCCAATTAACTCGAGAAGGAAACATATTTCACCGTGCGTTACCATGCCAGAATGCTTAAATATGTCAGGAATAGGGAAATAACTCAACTTGATTTTTTCGATTTTTGGCGACGTACCCATACAAATGACACCCGAAAACTGTGCGTTCCGGCAAAACTTCGTTTGCATTTTTTTTGGATTGCTGGTGGTCGAACACTTCCAATTTTTACAGTGTAGGTACCTCAGGATCGCCCCTACGCACATCCGGAATTTTAGAATTTTTGAAGGTCAGGTTGGCAAGTTATAGCGTGCTCAAATTTAATATGGAGAAATTTCGTAAATTTAGAATATTACAAAAACCTATGGTAGAAACCTCAACATAAGCTGTTTTAGCATGTCTATAGGCTCGATACAATCCCACAAAAATATCAAGAAAAATTTTCAGAACCGCGGATTTTTTAGTTTTTCGACGACCCCCGGGTCATGGATTCTTTCGAGGTCACGAATCTGAACTTTGGAAAATGATTTCGAAAATTGCAGATAGAATTTCGGTGTTTGCTTTGCTTCGCTGTGTAGGACTGGGGTCCATCTATCATGTAAACAATTTCTAGCTACCGTACCCGTTGGAAGGTTGCCTTTTAGCGCCTCCAAAACGGTTGGTTCGTGCTATTTCACAGACCTTCATGCCAGTTTAGAAAATTCAATTGAGAGGCTGGAATTGTTGTCATAATTTTATTTAATACTACTTAATGGGCGCATTCTAAGATTATATTTACAAATTTATTGGGCCATCCAATCTCTCAAAAGAAATTCATGAAGAGTCCAAATATACCCGAATTCGGGACGAGGTAAAAAAATTCTCGAGGCTTGAGTAGCCTCGACTTTTCTGACATAGACCAAGCTTGGGTAGTCAACTAAAACGCATGCAAATACAAAACCCGTTTCATGGCAAACGAATTTAGAAGAGCGCCCCAAAGTCGACTTTTCAAAAACGTTATTTTCGGGTTTGAAATCAAAATCAAGCAATAACTTCAGCCAGATCATTCCAGAATTTTGCTCTTATGCACAGTTCAATACGTGCTTTAATTGTATCCACCAAACCCCGGTGCCTTTTTCATTTTCAAAAATTCGATTTTCGAGCCAGGGCGTCGGGTCCAAAATCGGGGTCCGAGGGGGGTTTTCCTCTTTCCTTCATAACTTTGTCATTTGCCACAGGAATCAAGTAATTTTTTGTAGGTGCTCTTACAATCACCCAAAGAACAGTCTAGAATCGAAAAACTGTCACTTTATGGAATTTTGTCTTGGCATCCTAAAACGCGCTTCTGGCGGGTTACTGTAGAAAACAGAAAATCGCCGTTTTCTCGTTCTTTTCACCATAGAAACGTTTCGATCTTTCAGGAAAACAAATAATAGTAGTTTTCGGTCCGATTCATTAAAACTTTTAGAAATTGCCGTGGCTAAATTAAAAAATCAGCTTTTTGTATATTTTTCGAAAGTGTGTGGCTAGAAATTTGCTATATTTTGCCAATGGCTGCCCCTTACCATTGTTTACCGATGGTAAAATTTTGAGCGAAATCGCAGCTTACAATAAAAAGAAAAACGCGAAAAACAAAAGCTACAGTATCCCTCTGGGGCACGTTTTAGCAAGCAATATTAAAATACCATAGAATCAGGTAAAATTTGGTGTTATGCTAAAGATTATCATTCGGAGACACCATCTGCAAAAGGTCAGCCATGGGCAGCGAATTTGAAGAGAGTTGCGAATTAAAAAGTAAAAATAAGCAAAATAAGGAAATTTGTTTTGCCTGTAAAAAAAGAACTAAACCTTTAAAAATTCTAAGACTTTGCTATTATTATTCTACAAATGCCAACGATTTTTGGGCCAAAAATCAGAATTTTCCCACCACCCTTTCAAGAACGCACAATTTTCGGTCGTAACCAGCGTCAATAGTACAGTTGCGTACTCAAAAATCGAAAAAATCAAGTTGAGTTATTTCCCTATTCCTGACATATTTAAGCATTCTGGCATGGTAACGCACGGTGAAATATGTTTCCTTCTCGAGTTAATTGGGGACAAACTTGGGCACTTTTTTTTGGGACACCCTGTATATCAAAGCGGATGGGGGCTACATTAAAAATTTGTTACAAAAATGAATATTTAGCATCCACTTATCATAAAAATAAATCGCTATTATTAAATTTGGGTTTACTTTTGTCGCTGTAGCCCTCTACATTTTCCGGATACTTACCAGCCACCCTGTACTTACAAAAGTTTTACCGAGGCGCACCAGCGCGCTTTGAAAGAAAAGCAACGACTTATGTTCCAACCTAATATGAAGTCTATTTTTCCAAAAATTTTCGTCTATGCACTGCTTTTTCATCAGTGCATCCATTGTCCATAAAAAATATTCGCGTTGCCCCCCAAAAAAAAATGAGGTTCGTGTAAGCCCCTGTTACGGGGAGGGGGGGGGGGGCTTCGAATGGCTTGGGGACCGGGTCCCGTCCGTTTTCCGGTGTCTCTCTTTATGTCGGACTCCTGCGTAGTCGAAACACACCAGCACCAAAGACATAAAGCCTGAGAACCGCGACCCGACGGAATGGACCATCAACTGTGGGACTATCGACGACTGAGAAAACTGGCTTACATAAAAGGACCCAAGCAAGCTAAAGATAATCTTTCTCTATCTCGAATAAATGAAATGGATTGAACTGCTTATATTCGCATATTGTTACACTTTATAATTCCCTACACTTTGATTCCACCAAAATTGCTCTGTGCATAAAAATTACGAATAGTTAATATGAATTACGCCAACAGTAACGTCTCGTCGGCCCGGGCCCGACTCGGCCCTCCAAAATCCCGACCCAGGCCTGGCTTTAAAAATTTCAATTACTTAAAGAAAATATGAATGATATGAAAAATTCCCAAATATAGGGCTCAACTCGGAATCGAATTTCGATTTGAAAATTTGCACTATTATAGAGCTCGACGTGACAAATCGATTGATCTAACTATCAGCTGCTGATGCAATAACCACGCCGGGTTATAAGCATTTTAAGTTTTTGCATACACTTTGCTCGGATTTCGCCCTGGCTTCATAGGCTTTCACCCCATCATCGTGGTCTCGTGGCCTAGTGGTGTAGTAGGCGACGTCTGGGGAATCTAACTAGGGTTCATACCCGCTCACGATTTTTATTTATTGCTTTTTCGTCTGAAGGTTCCGCTTTGCTTCCTGAAGGCCGTGAAGAGCTTGTTATGCATTATTTTAACCCCTCTGATGCGCCGACAACATAGAACTTCACCGTAAAAAATTTTCTTACTGGGCATTGACCCCTGTCCAACCAATGACTGCCATTTCCAAAAAAATTTTCGCGTATGAATGTTTTTGTTCGAATAACACAACATTTACCATAAATTACGTTTACTCCTGTTATTTTATTATGCTTTGAATTTTTAATTTATGCTGGGACCGGCATAGGCCTTTCGGGTAAGAAATCTTAATCCTGCTAAATATAAAAAAATAGTGTTTGTGTGTGTGCCACTTTGCAGGCAAATCCCGTCATTATGTTCCAGTCGTATCTCAATAAGGGAAGGGTTTAGGGGCATGTATGATACGTCAATACGTGCGTAATGACCCTGAGTTAACTGCACACGTACAAGACTTTACATTTTACATGCCTATGAAGACCAGGCGAAAAACCGAGCAAAATGCACCTGCAAAGACTTAAAATGCTTATAAGGCCGTCCGCGACTCTTATGACTTGGTACAGTTTTTTTCGAACCCGGTTTTTTTTGACTGCATCGGATAGAGCATGGTCAAATTAGTAGGGCTGCATAGTTTTGAAAGTTTCAAAAGTTCAATTTTGGGGCGAAAATGAACGTTAAAGTTGCCGACCTCAAAAAAACTATCTCGAAAAATACCCAACAAAATTTGCTAAAAATTTGTGACGATACTAATTTTGGGGTGGGGATCATTTCTCTAATACATTGTGTAGCATGAAAATGGCCGGAACGTAGTTAAATCAAATACTAAACAGTTTTTCGACATTTTCGACATTTTAGAGAAACCAGCGCATATTGGCTACATGGGCAGACGCACCTAAAGTTTCTGCATCGTATGGTGTATCGCTTGATATGCGCCGACTTCTCTAAAAATTAGTTTTATCCGCTTTTATGTGTGAAAATGGGGGTAAAATTGGCCCCAAAAAATGAAAATTTTTGCTTTCGAAAAATCTGGGATATAGAAATGCATCTAGAGACCGTCGGCTCCTGAGTGGGGGCTGGGATTGAACTGGCGCCGACTCTGGATTGGCACGCCGACGCTCTACTCACTGCGCCACAGGGCTACCGGGCGGAGGGTCCTGGTTCGATTCCGCGACATCGAAAAAAACGAAATTTCTTTTTGCTCTTTTTTTGCAATCGATTCGTCTCGGTCTCTAGATGCATTTCTATATCTCAGATTTTTCGAAAGCAAAAATTTTCATTTTCTGGGGTCAATTTTACCACCATTTTCACACATAAAAGCGGATAAAACTAATTTTTAGAGAAGTCGGCGCATATCAAGCGATACACCATACGATGCAGAAACTTTAGGTGCGTCTGCCCATGTAGCCAATATGCGCTGGTTTCTCTAAAATGTCGAAAATGTCGAAAAACTGTTTTTAGTATTTGATTTAACTACGTTCCGGCCATTTTCATGCTACACAATGTATTAGAGAAATGATCCCCACCCCAAAATTAGTATCGTCACAAATTTTTAGCAAATTTTGTTGGGTATTTTTCGAGATAGTTTTTGAGGTCGGCAACTTTAACGTTCATTTTCACCCCAAAATTAAACTTTTGAAACTTTCAAAACTATGCAGCCCTACTAATTTGACTATGCTCTATCCGATGCCGTCAAAAAAACGGGGTCGAAAAAAACTGTGCCAAGCCTTGTTCGGGTGGCTCGCAAACGGTCTTTTATAACTTGGCGTGGTTACTGTATCAGCGGCTGAAAGTTAGATCAATCGATTCGTCTCTCTTGTGCAAATTTCAAATCGATTTTCGGTTCCGAGCTGAGACCATCTCCTTATGAGTGAATCCATTGTGGGGAGCCCGTCCTTTTAAGCGAAACGCGCCTGGAGGCAGTGTACCCTGTAGCGATACTTACGTAAATTCGCTGGCCCATGTTGTCCAATTAGTGGCATCCACAGCGTTATTGACTGCGCGAAGGAACAGTGTATAGTTCTCGTTGGCGCCAAATTTCACTGGCTGAAAACAGCTCTGGCTTGCTTTTTTAAAAGGTGACTGCCAACTCAGCCGATCTTGCAAAGTCTGGCTTGGTACAGTTGGTGCTTCCCGAAAATTTTTAACATTTTTTATAACCTTCTTATATCTAAAGACTGTGTGAATACTATAACGTCGCAAACAAAAATTTCACGAGACCACGGCCGTCACGCCAAGCCGTTTTCTATAGAAATTTCGACGGATACCCTTCAAGAATTTTAAAACTCCACCCAGCGGGCTGAAAATTCGTCCAGATATGCTGCGTCGTTGTAGTTTCAGAATTTGGACGACAAAAGTCATTTACTTAGATTTCACCAAAATCAAGATACCGTTGACGTTTTTGATTTTCTTGATGAACTTCAAAGTCAAAATTGGCTAGAAATTGGCTAGACAAGCACCTTAACGCCAAAACAAGCTTTTTTTATAAAAAATTAGATTTTTTATGCAAAAAGCAAAAGAATTGATGCAAGGCGGGCTGTCGAACCCCCGCCCTGCGATCGGCAAGCGAGAACTTTGCCAATGCACCATGGTGCCAAAGGGGCAGCGGGCTGTGAGAGCCTAATTCAGGGCCCCTGCGAGTCATGGAAGAGGGAATAGTGGGCCAGAATCCGAATTTTTGCCTTTTTTAAGCTTAATTTCACCAAAAATGACTTTTAAAATAAAAGTCTGCTGCAAATTTGGAATTAGGAATCAGCGAAAAATTCTGCACAAGACACACTTGGTCCTGAATCGAAACTCCAAAGTTACATTTACACCTGGTCAGTTCCCGTGATAGAAGGCGAGCGAGCTTTTAAAATACGTACCCTGCCGGCGAGCGCCTGGGGAAAGCTGGGTCGGTCCGGGGTGTGCAGCAACACGAAAGTATAGTTGGACACCGGAGATTCATTGCCACTTGCATCGCGCCTGAAAATCTTGCAACCATTCTGCGTACGATAAGCTCGACATTAGATCGGCATTTTCGGCCGAAAAAAAATAGAATGCAGCCGGCCTCCATTCCCGGTTGGCCGCGGCTTTTGCTAAAGTGGCCGGCCGCGCGGCCCGGATAGGGCCAAAAATCTGCAACCAATTTAGATTTTTGGATGCTAATTAAGGCATTTACCTGGCTTCAAAAGGTCCAGTCAAAGAAAATTAGTTAAAGAACCAGGGTTGGACCTATGAGAATAAACAATTTGGATCCAAATCGGGTTCGAAAAAAAAGGGAAATTGGATGTCTGGCTCTTTATAAGAGCTACGGCACTTGATGTATGCAATACGGCTTACTTTTCCATACGGCTTACTACCCCCTAGTAAACTCTTACTACCCCTGGTAAACTTTTCACTACCCCGGTAAACGGCCTAGTAAACGAGTTTACCAGGGGTAGTAACGGGGCAAAAGAGCCAAATTATGGCGACCTCTTCAACTGGGCCCAGCGCGTCTAAAAGGGTGTTAAAAGGTTCGGGAATCACTCAAAAATGATATTTGAGCTTTCAAGCTAGCGATTCAGTAAAAAAATAGCTCAAGAAAAACTTAAAAATTGCTGGAACAAGGCGTTAGAAAAGTTACGACCACAGAATAAGAAGTTTACTACCCCAGTAAACTTTCCTTACTACCCCAGTGAACTTTTTTACTACACCAGTGAACAAAGTTACTAGTAGTAAAAGATTTTTTACTAGGGGTAGTGTGCCACTTTTTGGTTACTAGGGGTGGTAACCCCATTTTTAAGTTAGGGTATAAGTTTAAAAACACTCAATTCTATTTACATCTTTTGACATCACGGCCTAGTTCAGCTACTCGGCAACCTATTTCGACCAAAGAAATGAGGAAAAGTCTGGGTGCCGCGTCAAATCCTATCGCGAATCGTTTACTACCCCAATAAACTTGTTTACCCTACTCCTTTTGGGAGTAAACTTTTTACTACCCCGTCGAAATTTTCATTCCAAATCATTGAATTTGAGTTCATGAGAAAGGCAAGTGATTTTTCATCAAAGGTGTGGTCATGGCCAATGGTATAAAAATGCTTCATGGTCTTTTTCTGCGATATTTTTTGAACAATCGAAACTTTCAAAAAATAGTATTTTGACACTTTCATGGTTTCTCAAAGGTTTTCTTGGTTTTCAGCCTACTTGGCAAAATGAATTGTTGAGAATTCGGCGGAATTGGCCATGCTAGCGGAAATCTCAGAAGCGACCAAACTATTAATAAGTTGAATTGGTTATTACCACAATATCTATTGATCTTTTTTTAAGTTCTTTTTCTGAAATGCCTTGATGGTAATGTTTTCCTAGTTATAAGTGTTGATAAGCTAAGGACCTGACGTGGGGTTATAAATCCACAGATTCACTAGGGGTAGTGAACTAGTTTACCACCCCTAGTAATGGGAAGCCACAAGAAATGACACTTTATCGGGAGCCAAAAACATCCTAACAACACAAAATAATATATATGAAAAAGAAAGCAAGCTATTCTTGCCCCGTCTGCGCTAGGAAAGTCGCTAGACTAACTGTAACATGGTCTAAATCTGGGGGGTAGTAAACTTGTTCACTACCCCAAGTAAAAAGTTCACTGGGGGTAGTAAGAAGTTTACTAGGGGTAGTAAACTTTTTGAGTTTACTAGAGGTAGTAAGCCCGTATGGTACCGGCCCATGTAGCGACAGCCGATTTTTCAAGAAACTTGGCGTTAAAGACCCTGATAACTCTTGAACGCACACCGTCTCCCCCGACGGTAGGCTACATATCAATGCGTGGGTATCCTATCCTATAAGCGAGAAAAGTATGTTTGTTTTTGTACAGCCGATATCTCGGCCGTCAGGCCGAATTTCGAGCTGATTTTTGGCATGCAGGTGGGAATCCTACTATATATAAAAAAATAGTGTCTGTGTGTGTGTATGACACTTTGCATGCAACTTCCGTCAGCGTGTCCGGAGGATATCTCAAGAGGGGAAGGGATAAAGGGGGCGTATGATACGTCATTCGACGCGTAATGGCCTGTAGATGACTGCACGCATCTCAGATTTTACAAAATCGATTGTTTTCGACATTAAAATTAAGTTTTTCCTTAAAAATCGGACGCCCTCTTTGTTAGGAAAAAATTAGCATACGCCGGAAGTGGGAGTAGCCTATATAATCGGGGAGAGGATGCGATTTTCATTTTTTGACATCAGTGCCGAAGGATTATGCAAATCGAGGGATATCATAGGGTTGGACGAGGCCAGGGTTGAAAAGTCGCGAAGCGGCTTTTCAACCCTGGTTGCCATCAAAAACGGTTCCTGGATTTTTTACAATTTCTGCATGTAACGGTTTTAGAAACAAAAAAAGGGTAAAATCCTTAAGATTTGGTCGGAAAAACGGTATTTTCAGAGGATATCTCGCGATACCGGCCAAATTGGGCATTGATTTTTGTAGGGTAGAAAGAAAATACAATTCCTCTGATACTAATTTTAAGATTTGCCGAAATTCTCTAAAATCAACTTTTTATGAGCATTTTTCTAAAAAATCCTTAACAAAATGGGCCAAGAGCCGTGGTGTCCTCGAAGCCCTAACGGACTTCCGGGCTGTAATTTCGACCACTTATATATTCGATGGTGGCGTCACGCGCATCTTATTATCTTTACAACTTGAAAGCGGATTCAGACTAAAAAAATGGAATTTTCAAAAATGACCATAGGGCCTCCCTGCCGGGTGAATCTTCATATCGCCGAATTTTCATATCGCCGAATTTTCATATCGCCGAATTTTCATTTCGCCGAATTTTCATATCGCCGAATTTTCATTTCGCCGAATTTTCATATCGCCGAATTTTCATTTCGCCGAATTACATATGAAAATCTATGTTGGAGACCTTGGAATTTACAATATTTTGTACCGGCCGAATGAAGTTTTGTGCAATAAACTTTAGACGAAATACACATTCGGCGAAATAAAAATTCGGCGATATGAAGATTCGGCGAAATGAAAATTCGGCGAAATGAAAATTCGGCGATATGAAAATTCGGCGATATGAAAATTCGGCGAAATGAAAATTCGGCGAAATGAACATTCGGCGATATGAAAATTCGGCGAAATGAATGTAAATCTCCCTGCCGGCATCACTGGATCGCCCTGTTCTTTGCCCCCCTCCCCCACCAGTTGAATGGCCGAGCGGTAAAGCCCTTGCTTGATAGGATACTGAAGAGCAGGGGTGGTCATTTCGGACCTGGACCCGGAGCGGGTCCGGGTCCGATCGGACCGGGTCCGGACCCGGACCTACCCTAATTTTCATGGGTCCGACCGGATCCGACGAGGAAAAACATACAGGGCGTCCCATAAAAAAGCACCCCTCCGGCATTTTGCCGTATTACATCCGGTCGGTTCCAAAATTGGACCAGAGATGTATCAGACCCTAAATAACCACAATCCTGACTTATAGCCCGCCAGCTACAGTAATCTTCGAGATACAACAAAAATAAACGTTTTCCGTTTTTCATACGGTTTTCGTCGAAATCGACCCTTCGGATCATAAGTGAAAATGAAGCGGCAAGCCTGCTTGACCCCTAGAGATTTTTTCTGATAAAAATTAGTGAAATAACCGTTGATTTCAACAATTTTTGTAACGCAAAGTCACCCACGATATTAAGCGAAATTAGGGATTCGCAGCCGGAAGTCGATGCAAATCGATGCAAAGTCCAAAAAGATAGCCCAAAAAAGTACCGTAGTAAAAGAACCGCGTAAAAAAACAGTATTTTGACGATAACTCGAAAACTACTGTAGCAATCGGGCTATAACTTAGGATTGTGGTTATTTAGGGTCTGATACATCCCCAGTCCAATTTTGGGACTGTTGGGATGTAATACGGCGAAATGCCGGAGGGGTGCTTTTTTTGGGACACCCTGTATGGAGAACTATTCGCCCGATGATGGGGGATCCGATGAAGAAGACGACGTAGCTGTAACATTTGCATCTTGCTGCATTTCCGGACCCGGACCTACCGGCCATGCCCCCCTCCTAGGGGCCTGCGGGTGGGTCTGGGTCCGGGTACGGGTCCTGGTCTGACCCGGGTCCGAAATGACCAGCCCTGCTGAAGAGGGTTCGAATCCGCTCACGGTTTTTTAGCTTTGCTTTTTCGGCAGAGATTTTTGCACAAGTCCAGGAGCATACGTGTTGAAGCACTTCTTAAAGGTCTCTGGGACGCTAGGGTACTCAGCCGCAGGGGTTGAGGCTGGCTACAGAGAGCGGACACAGGGCGCGAAAAATTTTTGAGAACTCCCAAAAGGACCGCCGCCAGGCAATTTCTGACTAGGGTTTAGACCAGCGCCGCGAGAGCGGCGCCGATTTTTTCGTAATTGGAATAATTGTTGCGAAACTAATGAAAAATCGTGATTTTTTTTTGTAATTTACCTGTGTTGTAAATTTGTTTTTGCTTGTTGTAATAAATATTTGTAATAAATATTGCGTTACTTGTTACCATCCGTGTAGCAGTCATGGGCAACTGAAGAAAAAAAAATGGCACCTGAAGCGGAGGAAGATGAAGAAATTCTCTAAATTTATTCCTACAAAACTATCTAAACTACAGACTGTACATCTGCGTTATATTCTTATTCTGAAATATCCTGATGCAACACGAACCGATGCGATGATGTGGTCAGCGATGCGCGCCGTTTCCAGTACATTATCGGACGGAGCAGATGGAACACCGAAAAACCTGATTTAAAATTCTCAAACCAAATTATTGAAAACTCTGAGATTAGCTTAAGGGTAGCCAAATTATATACGCGCTGTGTCTACTACATACGCATACGAGAAAAATTTTTTTAAGGCCGTTTGCGGTATCGGCTCGGAGTTGCTGACCCTGAACTTAACGAAAATCCGTTTAAAAATCATATCTCGGCGCTCCTTTGTCGAATGGTTTCGAAACTTCTTTGGTGAGTAAAACTAAGTACCGTCTGCATTGGATAAAAATTTGAAATCCATCCGAGCCATTTAAGATATAGCTTGGGACCAAACTAACTTTGGACATGACCCCTTTCCCCCTTTAATATGGGCAAAAACACTCAAAAAATCATATCTCGGTGCTACTTTGTCAAATCGCTTCGAAACTTCTTTGATGAGTCGGATTAGGTACCGTCTGCATTGAGTATAAATTTGAAATCGATCCGATCCATTTAAGATATAGCTTGGGACCAGCGACTGCGAAACCTAATTTCTCATCGACTTTGGACATGGGGCCCTATTTCGGCCATTTTGGCCCCCTTAACCCGGACCGATCGGGGCGAAACCTCGACGCAAGATAGTTCCAGGTATCGGCTACCTCATACAAAAATAAAATTCGAGAAAGCTTTTATCTCCAGGGAGCCTGGGACCGGGGAAAATCCAATACTTTGGACACAGAATCGAACCTTTTTCCGTTTTTTCCTCGGAACTCGGCAGCCATTTATTTTTATTGCTACCGGCTTTTGCGGGTGGTAGCCCTTTCCGCGACGATCATTTTGATATATAAAACAAAAAAATTGGCCAGAGCTCCGCGACGCCTGGGACCAAACTTACTTTGGACAGGGCGTTACCAAAGTTGATACTGAAGGGACCGTGGCAGTCGCTGGTCACAAGCTATATCTTAAATGGCTCAGATGGATTTCAAATCTATACTCAATGCAGACGGTACCTAATCCGACTCACCAAAGAAGTTTCAAAGCGATTCGACAACGTAGCACCGAGATATGATTTTTTGACTGTTTTTGCCCATAGCAAGTCGCGAAAAGGGGTCATGTCCAAAGTAAGTTTGGTCCCAGGCGTCGCGGAGCTCTGGCCAATTTTTCTGTTTTATATATCAGAATGATCGTCGCGGGAAGGGCTACCACCCGCAGAAGCCGGTAGCAATAAAAATAGATGGCTGCCGAGTTCCGAGGAAAAACGGAAAAAGGTTCGATTCTGTGTCCAAAGTATTGGATTTTCCCCGGTCCCAGGCTCCCTGGAGATAAAAGCTTTCTCGAATTTTATTTTTGTATGAGGTAGCCGATACCTGGAACTATCTTGCGTCGAGGTTTCGCCCCGATCGGTCCGGGTATAAGGGGCCAAAATGGCCGAAATAGGGCCCCCATGTCCAAAGTCGATGAGAAATTAGGTTTCGCAGTCGCTGGTCCCAAGCTATATCTTAAATGGATCGGATCGATTTCAAATTTATACTCAATGCAGACGGTACCTAATCCGACTCATCAAAGAAGTTTCGAAGCGATTTGACAAAGTAGCACCGAGATATGATTTTTGAGTGTTTTTTGCCCATATTAAAGGGGGAAAGGGGTCATGTCCAAAGTTAGTTTGGTCCCAAGCTATATCTTAAATGGCTCGGATGGATTTCAAATTTTTATCCAATGCAGACGGTACTTAGTTTTACTCACCAAAGAAGTTTCGAAACCATTCGACAAAGGAGCGCCGAGATATGATTTTTAAACGGATTTTCGTTAAGTTCAGGGTCAGCAACTCCGAGCCGATACCGCAAACGGCCTTAAAAAAATTTTCTCGTATGCGTATGTAGTAGACACAGCGCGTATATAATTTGGCTACCCTTAAGCTAATCTCAGAGTTTTCAATAATTTGGTTAAGGGGAGTTGAGAATTTTAAATCAGGTTTTTCGGTGTTCCAACTGCTCCGTCCGATAATGTACTGGAAACGGCGCGCATCGCTGACCACATCATCGCATCGGTTCGTGTTGCATCAGGATATTTCAGAATAAGAATATAACGCAGATGTACAGTCTGTAGTTTAGATAGTTTTGTAGGAATAAATTTAGAGAATTTCTTCATCTTCCTCCGCTTCAGGTGCCATTTTTTTTTTTCTTCAGTTGCCCATGACTGCTACACGGATGGTAACAAGTAACGCAATATTTATTACAAATATTTATTACAACAAGCAAAAACAAATTTACAACACAGGTAAATTACAAAAAATCACATAGTCAACGGTAGATTCTTAAAAAGATGCAATGGCGCCGAAGGCGCCAGAAAAAATTGCGATTTTACTAGCCCTTAGACCAGCGCCCCGCCCGATTTTGGGACCAACGCCCACCAGTTACTGTCCAAAGGGATCGCGCCCTGAGCGGACACCGTGGCGGCGTACATAGGAGCGCCGGGTGAGGAAAGGGGGTGCTCGGGCAGGGCATCCCTCTCCGCCGCCCCCCTCCAAGTTGATGAGCGTGGTATAGTGGATAGCGCGCTGGGCTATTATTCTAATAGGTGCGGGTTCGACCCCGCCCGGAGCAAACGTCTTTTGCTTTTTCGCAAAACCATCGTTCTAGAGGCCTTCAATTTTATGACAGTTATGCCTACGGCGACGTCAGAAAATTATTCTTGTAAAATTTCTAGTTTTTTACAGACGGATAGGTGTGGGAACCCCAGCCGTCAGATCTGATTCTCATTTTTCGATTTTTTTAATGGTTAAAAATGGTATAGAGATTTTGGGCTATTCGTAGTGACATCCTGAACTGGCACAAAAATCTCTGGCGAAAAGCAAAAACCAAAAAACTGTGAGCGGATTCGAACCCTCGCCAGTATCCTATCAAGCGAGTCCCTTACCGCTCGGTCATTTAACTGGTGACTCCATAGTGATGGGAGAGCCTCATAAACTATCCCTCAATGCTAACTATCCCTCATAAACATCGACCTCAGCAGAAGTTAGCGCCGCAGGCTCAAAAATTCTAGCGCAATGAGGCCAACTTATGGCTCACCGACTTGAGCTTTTGAGCCGCAGTCCTAAAGGTACACTAAAATCTCGTGAAAAAATGGGTCACCGTCCTGAATTTTATCCCTTCGCCCGAGCTTGGCCCGACCTGCATAGCCCCTCGCCTCCTTCCTTCTCCCGTTTCTTCCATGGCCTAGTGGTCCAAAGCGCTGGGCGTAGGCGAGTGATCCGGGTTCGGTTTTGCTCCGCGGCGAGCGTCTACCGTAACCCTCTCTGCTATCCCGCGGACGATTACCGGCCGGTTACCAACACAACGAGATTTTAGTAAACCTTTAAAGGCAAGAAGGATTAAAAATTATGGTTCCCAGGCGGGGTCTAGTAAAAAAGGGCCGCGGCCCGCGGTTCTTTTACCACCGGTGAAAGGATAAGTAAGGCCTTACCAAACAAACTCCTGGCTTAGCATCCGATTAAAGGTGCTGGGCAGGTCTTCCCTCACATCCTGCATAGCATCAAGTAGTTTCTGAAAGAAAGGCTTGTAAGTAGAAACTTTACGCAATGCCGTGACAAGAGACCTCTTGGGGGCGTCAGGCAAGGTGGGCCGTCGCTTCGGATGGGCTGCCGCTCCACTCTTTCGAAATCGAGGCGCCTGGGCGCTTCGCGCTCCTCGGGCGCCCCGATTTCGAAACCCTGTACGAGCTCGCACCCATCCGAAGCGACTAGGCCCCGGGTGGCACGAAGCCTTTTTCTAGTCGCAGAGCGAAAGAAATAGCGATTAATTTCCCCCAAATCGAATGACTCCTGTCGCAAAACACTCTTCTAACGTTTCTATGACGAAATTCGGATGCAGTACAAAAAATAACCAAAGGTCTGTGCCTAAGCATCGCGCCGCAAAATTCGGCCGCAATGTTGGCGCCGCAAAATTCGTGCCGCAATCTTCGGCCGCAAGGTTCGCGACGCAAAATTCGCGCCGCAAAGTTCGCAGCCGCAATCTTCGCGCCGCAAAGTTCGCGGCACCGCGCACGGCTACCATAGTTGCGCCTAACAGTAAAATGTTTTCAAATAGACTGGAAATCCCATTCGGGACTCGGCCTACCTTGTGCAGAATTTTTCGCTCATTCAGAATCTGTTTTCCAAATCTGCGGAAGAGCTCAAATCAGAAGTTACAGCTGCTTTTGTCACAAACCGGCGCGAAATGTTCTATTTTAATACCCGCTAAAAATCTTGTAGAAGCCTCCCCCCGCTAACATAATCGCCCAACCCCCGCCTAAACTGCAGCCGCCCATAACTCTAGCGGGTTTTGGCCGACAAGTAGTGGCCCCGGTGTTGTCGGATTTACACTTTGCAAAAAAAATAGATTTCCTGTATCGTGGCGTCCTTCGCGTCCAACAGATGCATATCGGTTATGATCTGCCGCATCTAAAAACAGATAGATTTATCTGACGTCCCCTGGTGAACCACACACACACACACACACACACACACACACACACACACACACACACACACACACACACACACACACACACACACACACACACACACACACACACACACACACACACACACACACACACACACACACACACACACACACACACACACACACACACACACACACACACACACACACACACACACACACACACACACACACACACACACACACACACACACACACACACACACACACACACACACACACACACACACACACACACACACACACACACACACACACACACACACACACACACACACACACACACACACACACACACACACACACACACACACACACACACACACACACACACACACACACACACACACACACACACACACACACACACACACACACACACACACACACACACACACACACACACACACACACACACACACACACACACACACACACACACACACACACACACACACACACACACACACACACACACACACACACACACACACACACACACACACACACACACACACACACACACACACACACACACACACACACACACACACACACACACACACACACACACACACACACACACACACACACACACACACACACACACACACACACACACACACACACACACACACACACACACACACACACACACACACACACACACACACACACACACACACACACACACACACACACACACACACACACACACACACACACACACACACACACACACACACACACACACACACACACACACACACACACACACACACACACACACACACACACACACACACACACACACACACACACACACACACACACACACACACACACACACACACACACACACACACACACACACACACACACACACACACACACACACACACACACACACACACACACACACACACACACACACAACGTTACCAAGGTGTCTGTCAACAACATCTGCTTGTAATCCATGTCCAAAGTCCCTTTCAGCTCCTGATAGCCCTCGCCAGTCCGGATGGCCTCGTTATCCTTCCATGTCGCGATAAACATGAGACCCTAAACTTCAGAAAATTTAACAAATTGACACTGCAGTGAAAAAGATTGCCTCGCGGCCGTTTTCTACTAGGCTCTGAATGTCAGCAAGGCTGGATTTATAACTTAAACCAGCGGGTGAGGAGTGAGTGGTGGGTCCAAAAAGCAAAACAAAAAAGTCGTGAACGGATTCGAACCCTGGTCAGTATCCTAACAAGCTAGCCGCTTACCACCCGGCCATTGAACTGGTGATTCTTCTGAGATGAAGCCCTCATAAACCCTGAGGTCAATGCTAATTCCTCCGAATGTAAATTGCCCATTTTCCGGAAGTGCTGTATCTCTGTCGCCAGGTCGATTTAGCTAATTCTGACTAGCGCGTTGGAATCGCCGTCGTCGAAAACCTAGGGGTAGTCGCGAGCGTTGTTCGAAATTCCACCGTGCCACCTTGTGGTTCCCTTGTCAGATCAATTTCTAATACACCAATCGACGCGCCTTGCTCTTACACTTGGAAAACCCCCGAAAAACGCCGCCGCAAACTTCGGTGATTGAACCAAAATTGGGGTTCTCGAAAGTTCCATTCGTGCGCTCTCGACTTGCTTCCGCATCCGCGGATACCATGAAAAGACATCACAACCTTGCTTGACCACCTCCAACCCCCGATTTACGCTAATTTAAAAAACGCATGCTTCCGGATGCAAACTGAAAAACGTGAAACGATTTCAGCAGCGCTGAAACTTCGACAGAATAAAGATGTGATCCTGAGTTAATAATCAAGGTGGTTAGAATATCCGGAACTTGACAGATGCCGGAGAACGGGGAGGATCTTACATTGAGAATTTTGTCCTAAATTTTGGAAGCCCTGACTGAGACCAAACAAACAACAAACCAGGTAAAACCAGGTTTTCATGTCTTTTCCTGGGTATATGTCGGCTACGCGGGGGGATTTTACGCGGGGGGGGGGCGGGGCAGGCAGGCCTTTTTGGATGGTTTCGTTATTTTCTCGGAATTTTTGCAACGGCATTCAATAGAGCACCGAAAAATATACTAAAAGTTTTTGTTTTAGCTCAAATTAGTGTAATATAAAAAAGTTATGGCAAATACTAAAATAAGCTTTGAAAATCGGTTTGAGCGGCTGTTTTTTGACATTCGCGCTATTTTTTTCGACATTTTAAAGCAGCCATTTGATAGGGCATCCAAGAGTTTTAATTTTAGCTCAAAATAATGTAATATAAAATAGTTATAACAAAAACAAGTACTAAACGTTGTTTCCATGGAGGAGAAAGAAGGAAATCAAATTTTCGACATTTTCGACATTTTTACAAAATTCCTTTAGTGCCATTCGACACAGCATCAAAAAATATACTAAGAGTTTTGTTTGTAGCAAAAAGAAACGCAAAAAAATAGTTAGGCCGGCCCCAACAGTCCGTCCCCCCCGCGTAAAATTCCCCCGAGCCGACATATACCCTTTTCCTGGGTATCAACGGATTCTTCTTCTTCTCTATCTTTTCATTTTAAGCCCAAGACGCCTCGCTTGGTGTTGGTTAGAATTTGATCCGATCCACTTCCGGAAATCTGCATCCCAAAACTCCGTTTATTTGTGCCTAAAATTAAGTCCGACCTCCAGAGAAATTTTTCGAAATGTCCCAGACACATCGAAGCCTGCATGTAACACAGCCAGGCCCCGGGAACAAATACTGGGTGTCCCAAAAAAAGCACGCCCCTCTAGCGGTCCGGGAGAAGCTTTGATCGGGATGCTTTTTATGTCATTCAAAGCTCGTGAAAAGGCGTGAAGGCAAGCGAGCTTCATTTTCTAAGCTTTATTATCATGCGCCCGATATTCAACGTTTCTAAACCACAGGTGACTTTTCAGTGGGAATTGCGCAATTAACATGCAGATGTCGTGTACATCTGCCGTTGGCATGGTTTTTGGATGTAAAATTCGCTAATATAAATACATAAGGAAGGAGATAAACCATCCTTGTTTTCCCGCCTTTTTGGGAGCTTTCGATAGATACCTAAACGGGCAAAATCGGAGACGACTGCGCGCCGCTAGAGAGGGTGCTTGTTTTGGAATACGTTGTATAATTACCGCTTGCCAATGCGCCATTAGGAGCTTTGCGCTTTTTTCCCCAAACACCGCCGGATCAAAGTGACTGCGTTTGGTAAGAGCAACCATGCGGTCGCGATATTCTTCACTGATGCGCTAAAGAAGTACTTAAGGGAAAGCCTCAGCAACCAACCTTCGCAATACCCCATGGATCGTATTGTTTGACGGCATACTCAAATTCCTCTCGGGCAAGCCAGTCGTTGGAATGATGCAAAACAGTGTCCATTCGGCTCGAAATAATACTCAACGGAGAGGAAATTCTAAATTAGGGATATAGACGGATATAGATTAGGGAGGCATATAGACGGTTTTCATGGTTCTATCTATTTTCAGGTCGACCTTGGCCAGGCCGATACGAGGAGGTAGGGAAACCGCGGCGCGGTGCAACCCGTAAATCCGTCCACCCGCAGCCTTCCCCATCTCCCCTGTGGAGTATTGTTTCGGCTCCCCGACACTTGCGGCGCGACACTTGCGGCGCACGAAGCCCTTTTCTAGTCGCAGAGCGGGGGGAGTAGCGGTCACTTCCCTCCAAATCGGAAGACTTCTGTCGAACTTTTTATAGTGTTTCTCACCAAATTCGGAATCAGCGTATAAAATAACACTCTAAACTATTTTTACCCAGCTTAAACTAAATAACCGCAAGGTCGCGCCGCAGGCGTCGGGCGCAAGTGTCGCGCCGCAAATGTCGCGCCGCGAGTGTCGGGCGCAAGTGTCGCGCCGCAAGTGTCGGGCGCAAGTGTCGCGCCGCAAATGTCGCGCCGCGAGTGTCGGGCGCAAGTGTCGCGCCGCAAGTGTCGGGCGCAAGTGTCGCGCCGCAAGTGTCGTAGCCGCAAGTGTCGCGGTACCATTGTTTCAGGGGTCTGAGGGTCGTGGTTCGGTCTCTCCACGTGTCTAACCATTTGCCTTTTTGTAATAAAATGTATTACTAGGATGCGCTTTCTAAACAAATGCTTCTAGAAAAATAAGTGTGTCCCATTCGGTTTGGAAGCAAATCACTTCTGATGTAATCGACCATGTAGATTCTGAATCCGCGATTGAAAACGGCCGAAAAGTGCTTTTAAAGGGCCATTGAAGCCTAACCGCCCGCTTTCCGGAAATGGTATCTACAGGGTATCCCAAAAAAACCCCCCCCTCTAGCGGTCCGTGGGAAGCTCAGATCAGGATGATTCATTCATCATGTATCATTCGAACGCCCGCGAAAAGGCGAGAAAACAAGCGGGCTTCATTTTCTAAAATTTATTCTTATTCGTCCGATATTCAACGTTTTTCTAAAAAACAGGCAGCTTTTCAATAGGAATTTCGCAATTAGCATGCATCTCGCGTAAATCTGCCGTTTTCATGGTTTTTGGAGGTAAAATTTGCCAATAAAAATACATAATAAAGAAAATAAACCCTCCTTGTTTACTGTTTACTAGATACAACAAAAATCAAGTTTATTATCCGTTTTTCATAAGGTTTTCGTCGGAATCGACCCTTCGAATATTAAGTCAAAATGAAGTGGCAAGCATTCTTTATCCCCAAATTTTTTTTCCTAATAGAATTAATTAAATAACCGTTGATTTCAACAATTTTTGTAACGCAAAGTCACCCACGATATTAAGCGAAATTAGGGATTCGCAGCCGGAAGTACGCAAATTGATGCAAAGTCCAAAAAGATAGCCGAAAAAAACTGTTAGGAATCGCATAAAAAATAGTATTTTGGCAATAACTCAAAAACTACTGTAGCGATCGGGCTATAATTTAGGATTGTGGTTATTTAGGGACTGATACCCCCTTGTGCAATGCATGGGACCGATCCGATGTAATACGACGAAATGCCGGAGGGCGATTGCGCAAACAGCGCGTTTGGATGATTTGCCTTTCATTACCAAGGCCAACTTTCACTTCGCATCCATCCCTTGTTTTCTTTTCCCGATAAGCAGAGTAACGTTGAAATATACCAAACTGCAATCCCCCGCGATTTTGGCGACGCGCCATAGGGTTAATGTCCACTTACTGTGTTCTAAACCACTCTTCCTCGATGAAGTCTTGCATTATCGCGGTTTGTCGCTCAATCGCTTGCATTGTTTTTGCCAGAGCCGCGGCAACCTGATAAGAATTGCCTTTTTTTCAGTCATACGCGAATCATTTGGAAAGAAGGTGCATTCGTCAGAAAATTTTTAGTTTGAGTAATGCCAGGAGGTTCATCTTGCAGAATGGCTCTCCCCGATTTAAAAAAATTAATAAACTAAAACGGTATTTTCTTACATCGCTCGGCACACACCGGTGGCAGGCAACCAGAGCCCCCTGGGGAAGGGGGCACAGATCACCTCCCCAATCACCATCAGCAAAAGCGCAGTCGGTAGCGCAGTTTTCTTTCAAACTTTTTTTTGCACTTCTCTGGGAGGTTTTTTCTACATGTGATTTACTTTGCTTCTTGATAGTAAATTGCGTTGCCGTACATAGAGATGGGATTGTTGCGATTTTGCGTTGTTAATTGCTTGGAGAGTTGGATCATAAATCTCCATGCCCCGAATTTTGTCATTCCTCTCCGGTATTTCACTAGTCATGCCTGCTCATAAAGCGAATTTCGCGGTAATTGAAGCCCAAGAGCGCACAGCTATGAAAATTGAAAAACCAAAAGAAATCACAAGTGTAAAACAAACCTCCCGGAGAAGTGCAAAAAAAATTCGAAGGCAACCGCGCTATCTACTGCGCGTTTGCTGATCGTGACTGGGGAGGCTATCTGGGCCACATTGCCCCGGGGGCAGGGCGCGAAAAATTTTTGAGAACTCCCAAAAGGACCGCCGCCAGGCAATTTCTGACTAGGGTTTAGACCAGCGCCGCGAGAGCGGCGCCGATTTTTTCGTAATTGGAATAATTGTTGCGAAACTAATGAAAAATCGTGATTTTTTTTGTAATTTGCCTGTGTTGTAAATTTGTTTTTGCTTGTTGTAATAAATATTTGTAATAAATATTGCGTTACTTGTTACCATCCGTGTAGCAGTCATGGGCAACTGAAGAAAAAAAAATGGCACCTGAAGCGGAGGAAGATGAAGAAATTCTCTAAATTTATTCCTACAAAACTATCTAAACTACAGACTGTACATCTGCGTTATATTCTTATTCTGAAATATCCTGATGCAACACGAACCGATGCGATGATGTGGTCAGCGATGCGCGCCGTTTCCAGTACATTATCGGACGGAGCAGATGGAACACCGAAAAACCTGATTTAAAATTCTCAACTCCCCTTAACCAAATTATTGAAAACTCTGAGATTAGCTTAAGGGTAGCCAAATTATATACGCGCTGTGTCTACTACATACGCATACGAGAAAAATTTTTTAAGGCCGTTTGCGGTATCGGCTCGGAGTTGCTGACCCTGAACTTAACGAAAATCCGTTTAAAAATCATATCTCGGCGCTCCTTTGTCGAATGGTTTCGAAACTTCTTTGGTGAGTAAAACTAAGTACCGTCTGCATTGGATAAAAATTTGAAATCCATCCGAGCCATTTAAGATATAGCTTGGGACCAAACTAACTTTGGACATGACCCCTTTCCCCCTTTAATATGGGCAAAAACACTCAAAAAATCATATCTCGGTGCTACTTTGTCAAATCGCTTCGAAACTTCTTTGATGAGTCGGATTAGGTACCGTCTGCATTGAGTATAAATTTGAAATCGATCCGATCCATTTAAGATATAGCTTGGGACCAGCGACTGCGAAACCTAATTTCTCATCGACTTTGGACATGGGGCCCTATTTCGGCCATTTTGGCCCCCTTAACCCGGACCGATCGGGGCGAAACCTCGACGCAAGATAGTTCCAGGTATCGGCTACCTCATACAAAAATAAAATTCGAGAAAGCTTTTATCTCCAGGGAGCCTGGGACCGGGGAAAATCCAATACTTTGGACACAGAATCGAACCTTTTTCCGTTTTTCCTCCGGAACTCGGCAGCCATCTATTTTTATTGCTACCGGCTTCTGCGGGTGGTAGCCCTTCCCGCGACGATCATTCTGATATATAAAACAGAAAAATTGGCCAGAGCTCCGCGACGCCTGGGACCAAACTTACTTTGGACATGACCCCTTTTCGCGACTTGCTATGGGCAAAAACAGTCAAAAAATCATATCTCGGTGCTACGTTGTCGAATCGCTTTGAAACTTCTTTGGTGAGTCGGATTAGGTACCGTCTGCATTGAGTATAGATTTGAAATCCATCTGAGCCATTTAAGATATAGCTTGGGACCAGCGACTGCCACGGTCCCTTCAGTATCAACTTTGGTAACGCCCTGTCCAAAGTAAGTTTGGTCCCAGGCGTCGCGGAGCTCTGGCCAATTTTTTTGTTTTATATATCAAAATGATCGTCGCGGAAAGGGCTACCACCCGCAAAAGCCGGTAGCAATAAAAATAAATGGCTGCCGAGTTCCGAGGAAAAAACGGAAAAAGGTTCGATTCTGTGTCCAAAGTATTGGATTTTCCCCGGTCCCAGGCTCCCTGGAGATAAAAGCTTTCTCGAATTTTATTTTTGTATGAGGTAGCCGATACCTGGAACTATCTTGCGTCGAGGTTTCGCCCCGATCGGTCCGGGTTAAGGGGGCCAAAATGGCCGAAATAGGGCCCCATGTCCAAAGTCGATGAGAAATTAGGTTTCGCAGTCGCTGGTCCCAAGCTATATCTTAAATGGATCGGATCGATTTCAAATTTATACTCAATGCAGACGGTACCTAATCCGACTCATCAAAGAAGTTTCGAAGCGATTTGACAAAGTAGCACCGAGATATGATTTTTTGAGTGTTTTTGCCCATATTAAAGGGGGAAAGGGGTCATGTCCAAAGTTAGTTTGGTCCCAAGCTATATCTTAAATGGCTCGGATGGATTTCAAATTTTTATCCAATGCAGACGGTACTTAGTTTTACTCACCAAAGAAGTTTCGAAACCATTCGACAAAGGAGCGCCGAGATATGATTTTTAAACGGATTTTCGTTAAGTTCAGGGTCAGCAACTCCGAGCCGATACCGCAAACGGCCTTAAAAAATTTTTCTCGTATGCGTATGTAGTAGACACAGCGCGTATATAATTTGGCTACCCTTAAGCTAATCTCAGAGTTTTCAATAATTTGGTTAAGGGGAGTTGAGAATTTTAAATCAGGTTTTTCGGTGTTCCATCTGCTCCGTCCGATAATGTACTGGAAACGGCGCGCATCGCTGACCACATCATCGCATCGGTTCGTGTTGCATCAGGATATTTCAGAATAAGAATATAACGCAGATGTACAGTCTGTAGTTTAGATAGTTTTGTAGGAATAAATTTAGAGAATTTCTTCATCTTCCTCCGCTTCAGGTGCCATTTTTTTTTTCTTCAGTTGCCCATGACTGCTACACGGATGGTAACAAGTAACGCAATATTTATTACAAATATTTATTACAACAAGCAAAAACAAATTTACAACACAGGTAAATTACAAAAAATCACATAGTCAACGGTAGATTCTTAAAAGATGCAATGGCGCCGAAGGCGCCAGAAAAAATTGCGATTTTACTAGCCCTTAGACCAGCGCCCCGCCCGATTTTGGGACCAACGCCCACCAGTTACTGTCCAAAGGGATCGCGCCCTGCCCGGGGGGCCCCTTGCCCATTGAATGCCATCGAATCACCTACACTCTCCGCCTGTCCTCACTCTCCGCCCTGTCTCACTCTGCGCCCTGTCCTCACTCTCCGGCTGTCCTTACTCTCCACCCTGTTCTCACTCTCCGCCCTGTCCTCACGCTCCGCCCTGTCCCACTCTCCGCCCTGTCCTTCCACGGTAAGCCGGCCTACTCCTGTTACCGTGATCATGTCTGTCTTTGCCTTTACTCTGATATGCAAATTATTGCGATTAAATCTGGTAGATCACAGAGATGGTCTAGAGATTAATTTCAAGGAGGTGGAAATACATCAGGATACGGAAATCATTTGTAGGCCGACACGGCTAAAATCTACGGTTGCGGCTTTTAATGGACGCTGAGTCGCATATCATTATTGAAAAACGCTTGTGTCCCTCGATTACGGTAGGAATTCCCTCGCGACCCGGTTGCTTGGCGTGCCAAAAGTTTGGCTCATGGTAAATTTTAACGGATTTAATAAAAAAGGGATAAATTCTTTGGGCTAAAAAGTGTTTCGCTAACCGAAAACCGGTTTGTAAAAATTGCGAAATTCTGAAAGAAGAAAAAGGAATAACTTCTTTTTACCCTGCTTCCCAATCTTTTTCGCCTGGCAAGCAAAGCCAAAAGCGCCGGACCTGGCTTCCGGGTTTACGAGTTTACGAACATTTAATAATTTCGGATGTCTTAATGTACAGGGTGCGTCAAAAAAAAAGAATGAAGTTTGCACTGAAATATCTCGCTAGGGGAAACGAATCAGACCATGGTTACCTTGCCAGAATGCTTAAATATGCTGGGCATGAAGAAATAACAAAAGTTGTTTTCTAAGATTTTTGACGACCAGTGGGTCGTGAACATTTTTGAAAAAGTAAAAAACTTTGAAGACGAAAATAATGGAACTTTTAATGAGTTAGGGGGACATGTAGGGTATCAAAATGAAGCTCTCGGAATGCGCTATCAAACGCATCGTAAATATTATTGATCGATTTAACTAGCCGTTAATAGAAGCCTCCGGAAAATCCGGAATTTTTGAAGAAAAAATTCCAGACAAAATTTCCTTACCATCCGATCTTTCTGTTATTTTGCAGTTAGCAATAAAGAGATAACTTCTAACTTTTGGGATCAAGGTTTTGAGAATCCCGATCAAAAAACTTTTTGGCATCTTGCCAAGTCGGCCGAAACTGCAAGTTTTACGTTGATATAGTTAAAATTGTAACATGATTAGCTTTGGCAAACAACATTACATTTAATAAACACAAAAAGTTATGAGGGCAATAGGCTTTCTATGGTCAACTCGGAAACACCCTTTCTCGGAAATTCCGGATTTTCCGAAGGCTCCTATTAACGGCTAGTTAAATCGATCAATAATATTTACGATGCGTTTGATAGCGCATTCCGAGAGCTTCATTTTGATACCCTACATGTCCCCCTAACTCATTAAAAGTTCCATTATTTTCGTCTTCAAAGTTTTTTACTTTTTCAAAAATGTTCAAAACTTTTTAACGACCCACTGGTCGTCAAAAATCTTAGAAAACAACTTTTGTTATTTCTTCATGCCCAGCATATTTAAGCATTCTGGCAAGGTAACGATGGTCTGATTCGTTTCCCCTAGCGAGATATTTCAGTGCAAACTTCATTCTTTTTTTTGACGCACCCTGTATAAGGGCTTTTAGGGAAACCCTTTAGTTAATTAGTTAGGAATGTCAAAGTCCAGGGCACTATACCGGCTGTGGGGCCGGTCTTTGTCTCGAGTTTTTAAGTCACGCTGGGCTAGTTTAGCGCGCTCATTGCGAATAAAGTATAATCATATTCGGAAAACAATATTTTGACCGGTTTTAATCAGTAACTTGTTTTCATTACATTGCACCCAGTTAGAGCTTAAAAATAAGGCTTCGTGCCTCCCGGGGCCTAGTCACTTCGGACAGGGTTTCAAAAGCGGGGCGCCCCGGGCGAGCCCAGCGGCCACGCGCCCCGACTTGAAAAGAGTGGAGCGGCAGCGCTTCCGACAACGTACCTGTATCTGCAAGTCATCCAACTTATTTCTAATTTCGTTGAATCCTTTACGCATGTCTTCACGCATTTCTTTCAGCATTTCCATAACCGGGTTAGGAGTGGGCTCCTCGAGGATATCGAGCAAGCCATAGACGACGCTGAGCGCCTGCAATAATCTCATATAATTTCCATTATATTAGGTTCGACCGAAAGTCCTTATAATCGAATTTCGGAAATAGATTTTTAAACGTTTTGTGGACCACACGGTTGTTCATTTTTTCGATTGATGTGTTGAGGTCGATAGTCGCTTGCATTGAAATTGCCAGCTTTTAGCCCAGGGGGTTTTGTTATTTTTGTCTGAGGGTCCCAAATTTCAGACCCTGACATCTTTCACAAGCGCCATAAAGTTACCATAGAAATGTGATACTACCTACCATGATAATAAGTTCTCGCCACTAATTTAATTCCGAAATAGGGAAAAAAGTAAATCGGAACGGGTTGGCAAACATTGGAACGAGGCGAGGCTCCAATTTCTTGTCAATCAAACTGAAAAATTCTAAGGGAAACGTCGAGTGATTCCGTCCCAAGCCCCGAATAGAGCATTTGATGGTGCATACGTCCGTCCCGTCCCGACTAGAGGGGCCCATCCCGGCGAAGTAATGGGTTAACCGAAACTTCTTATAACGTTTTTGAATATATTATATTTTTTCCAGAAATTGCCGAATTGCAATGTTTTTGAGATACAGGGTCGCCATAAAAAGCCCGAGTTTGAGGCAACATATATCGCTAGGGGAAACGAATCGGACCATGGTTACCTTGTCAGAATACTTAAAAATGCTGCAAATGAAAATGTCTTTTACGATTTTTGACCACTCGTTTAGAATTTTCACTCACTCACTCACTCACTCACTCACTCACTCACTCACTCACTCACTCACTCACTCACTCACTCACTCACTCACTCACTCACTCACTCACTCACTCACTCACTCACTCACTCACTCACTCACTCACTCACTCACTCACTCACTCACTCACTCACTCACTCACTCACCTCCACCACACCTAGGAAACTCACCCCACCGAGCGGCCCGTAGAGGTTGCCGAGCGCCTGTAGGGGGCCTTGCGCTGTTCGCATCCACTTGAACGTGTCTTTGACAACGCTTTGTCCAAATACCTGAATTTTTGATCGTCAAAGTGTGACGTTTTTCGGTAAATGGATTATCTGCTTACCTGTTCTAATTTCTTCTGAGGATTCCCTATTATTTCTTCCCCGAGGTATTTGCCGATCGCTTGTCCAAACGCACCAGCCAACTGGAAAAGGGCATCGGATAGTCTTTTTTCAGTTTTTTTTTCGTTTCGGTGCAGGCATCACTTTGAAGTTGGATTGATAGTTGAGAGGTCACCATTGTAACAATATTTCGATTGTGAGGTCCGGAAACTTAAACAGTATTAGACTTAACTAGGACCCCCATTCGGCCCCACGGGCCGAGTGATTTGCAGGGTGTGTCAAAAAAAATGCCCAAGTCTGCCCCCAAAGGTCTTTAGAAGGGAAGATAAGAAAAGATATTTCACCATGCGTTACCACGGCTGAATACGTAATTAAACCTCAGGAATCCTACTATATATTAAAAAAATAGAGTCTGCGTGTTTGTGTGTGCCACTTGGCAGCCACTCCGTCTGTCTGTCCGGAAAATATCTCGATTGAGGATGATTTTAAGGTATGTTTGATACATCATTAGGTGCGTAAAGGCCTGAGGATGACTGCACACATCTGAGATTTAACAAAATCACCTATTTTCGACATAATTTGAGCTTTTGTGAAAACTTCTTTGTTAGGAATAATTAGCATAGACCGGAAGTGGGGATTCGACTATACAAAGGGACAGAAGAGGTCGTTTTTCATTTATGCCATCTGAATTCAGGACAATTATGCAAAGTGAAGCATAAAATGGGGTCAGCCGGGGCCAGGGTTGAAAAGCCGCTCCGCGACTTTTCAACCCTGGTAGGGAATTTATTTTTTCGATTTTCAGCGCACAAGATTCCTATTGCCGTTTTCTATGACCGAAAATTGTGCGTTCTTGAAGGGGTGGGAAAAATTCGTTGTTGTTTTGCTCATAATGCAAAGATCGTAAAATTTTCGCAGAATTTCATTTTGTACAAGCAAAACAAATTTGCTACTTGGCAGCATTTTCAAACACAACTTGCGGCAAATTCGCTGCTTAGGACTGCTTTTTTGCAATGCGGCTCTAGGGGAGCTAATCTCGGATTCAACATCATGCCCTACCGAAAGAGGGTCTCCCAATAAAAAAACACGCCCCCACCCGAAGCAGAAGTGGTAGGCACTCATATTTTCGAAACTCATATTTTCGAAAACGCATATTTTCGAAACTCATATTTCCGAAAACGGTTCTTGCGTGGGGGGGGAACTGAACTTTTTTCGGCCCTAGCCTAGATTTTTTATATAAATCGTGGCATTGTTTCTAAACTGTTTATAGCTATTCCTAACAAGGAGTGTCCTTTTGGTGTCATCGGCAAAACGATTCGAGACCCCGCTCATTCGATAGAGAATTGAATTCTGAACAAGACTGTGTTGTTCATTTTTGCGGAATGGCTGTCCCTGATTTTATAGAATTAAAAAACCAAGCGCGAAACCTTAACAACTGGCTCGCCAGGCACCAATGTATGGGCGTCGCCGGCAGTTTTTTAATTTTATAAAATCAGGGACAGCCATTCCGCAAAAATGTTTTTTTTCCGAAAGACCAAAGAACAGATCAGACCAAATCAGACCAAATTTTCGACTTGTTCAAGCGTTTTTCTAAACTTTTAAAAAAGTTTTTCCTATTCAAATAAGTTCTTTTTTGTTTTTTTCCTATTCTTACCCCCCCCCCCGGATACGCAAGAACCCCGAAAACTCATAGTTTCGAAACTCATATTTTTGAAATTCATATTTTCTTAGGTTTTCTTAAGTTACCCAAGCCTATGCAAAGCTGTAACTATCAGTTTTCGAAAATATGAGTTTCGAAAATATGAGTCTTCGAAAATATGAGTTTCGAAAATATGAGTTTTCGAAACTATGAGTTTCGAAAATATGAGTTTGCGAAAATATGAGTTTCGAAAATATGAGTTTCGAAAATCTGAGTTTCGAAAATATGAGTTTCGAAAATATGCACGCAAATCAGCAGAAGTATCCGATAGGAATGAAAGTTACACCATAGGAAGCCCTGCGACGGCGAACGATAAAAACCATGTTTTTATCTAAACCCGTTATCTTAGACGCCATTTAGTTTTATCTAAACCCGTTATCTTAGAAGTTAGAGCTAAGATGTTTTTATTATCTAAGTAGGGGCTTACTTTATTTCAAAGTATTCCAGCCATGACGCGTTTCTTAGATGTTTTTTAGTATTAAAGAGGGGATATAACTTTGTTTCAAATGGTATCTATTTCAAAGGGATACTTTCAAAGCCATCACGCCATTCTTACATGTTTTTTTAGTTTCAAAGAAGGGGTAGGACCTTGTTTCAAAGAATATTCCTGCCATTACGCGATTCTTAGAGAGTTTAGGCGAAACGGATTCAGGCGAACTCGCCGTCACCCCTATCGGGTGTCCTTTCGATCAAGTGAGTTCTTCGATCGGATTGTTCGAGTGCTCTTTCCTCCCTGACTAGGGAATGTTTTCGGGCGGACATCGGGCCCAGCTATGTCAGTATGTGCAACCTGTAGAGCTCGACGAGTCGAATCGATTGATGTAACTTTTAGCTGTGGATACCATTTTTTTTAATAAAGTTACAGCGGTTTAAAGTTTATGGCGATACCATCATAAGCCCTCCCCACACCCTAACCGCCGTGCTTTAGTAGTCTAGTGGGTTAGTGATCGGCGTCTGGGGATGGTAACGAGGGTGCGGATCGGTTTTTATTTTTTGCTTTTTGGTCGAAAGCTTCCATTTTGCATCCCGAAGGGCTACATTAACTTTTTTTATCTTTTTCGAATCATATCCTACTATACCTAAAAAAATGTGTGTGTGTGTGTGTGTGTGTGTGTGTGTGTGTGTGTGTGTGTGTGTGTGTGTGTGTGTGTGTGTGTGTGTGTGTGTGTGTGTGTGTGTGTGTGTGTGTGTGTGTGTGTGTGTGTGTGTGTGTGTGTGTGTGTGTGTGTGTGTGTGTGTGTGTGTGTGTGTGTGTGTGTGTGTGTGTGTGTGTGTGTGTGTGTGTGTGTGTGTGTGTGTGTGTGTGTGTGTGTGTGTGTGTGTGTGTGTGTGTGTGTGTGTGTGTGTGTGTGTGTGTGTGTGTGTGTGTGTGTGTGTGTGTGTGTGTGTGTGTGTGTGTGTGTGTGTGTGTGTGTGTGTGTGTGTGTGTGTGTGTGTGTGTGTGTGTGTGTGTGTGTGTGTGTGTGTGTGTGTGTGTGTGTGTGTGTGTGTGTGTGTGTGTGTGTGTGTGTGTGTGTGTGTGTGTGTGTGTGTGTGTGTGTGTGTGTGTGTGTGTGTGTGTGTGTGTGTGTGTGTGTGTGTGTGTGTGTGTGTGTGTGTGTGTGTGTGTGTGTGTGTGTGTGTGTGTGTGTGTGTGTGTGTGTGTGTGTGTGTGTGTGTGTGTGTGTGTGTGTGTGTGTGTGTGTGTGTGTGTGTGTGTGTGTGTGTGTGTGTGTGTGTGTGTGTGTGTGTGTGTGTGTGTGTGTGTGTGTGTGTGTGTGTGTGTGTGTGTGTGTGTGTGTGTGTGTGTGTGTGTGAAGCTTGCAAAACAAAAACCCAATGGATACTGTCACCAACTTCTTTGGTGTGGGTGCTGGAGATAAAAAATGAAAAAAAAGTTAATGTAGCCCTTCGGGATGCAAAATGGAAGCTTTCGACTAAAAAGCAAAAAATAAAAATCGATCCGCACCCTCGTTACCATCCCCAGACGCCGACCACTAACCCACTAGACTACTAAAGCACGGCGGTTAGGGTGTGGGGAGGGCTTATGAAGGTATCGCCAAGAACTTTAAACCGCTGTGACTTTATAAAAAAAAAATGGTATCCGCAGCTAAAAGTTACATAAATCGATTCGACTTGTCGAGCTCTACCAGATGCACATACTGACATAGCTTGGTCCGATGTCCGCCCGAAAACATTCCCTAGTGAGGACGCGGGACTGGGGCGTTGAACGTCGAACGGGCGTTGAACCACCGCCCGCTGCTTGCACTAGTATGGCAGCACCACTAAACGTAATTCTCCTATCCCCGCGCCCCCTACACGTGGCCCCTGGCATGCCGTGACAGCGCTGAACCACCCGCCGGAGCGGTGCAGCGCTGGTTTTTGCATTGAAATAGGCCATGCTACTTACCGCATACTGCTTCTTTTTGTCGTCCCAGTGCGCTTCGACCTTGTCCATGGCCTTCATGATGGCATTTCTATGGCGTTCTTCTTCTTCTTTCTTAGCTTTTTTGACCGTGATTTCATTTTTTTTGTCGAGTTGGATTTCGAATTTTTCGCCATCTTTGAGCGTCAGCATGGTCGGTTCATCGTCAGATTTTAGCTTTCGGCTTCCTGAAATTTTTTTGATGTCTCGGATCACGTGGTGTAAAATAGAAATGTTTTTATTCAGGTACTATACAGGGTGTCCCATAAAAAACACCCCTCCAATTGAAATATCCAAATTGGACCAATGGTGTATCAGACCCCAAATAACCACAATCTTGATTTATAGCCCGCCAGCTACAGTAGTTTTCGAAAGTTTCCCCAAAAAGTCCTGATTTTCCGAAGGCTGCTATTGACGGCTAGTTCAACCGATCGAAATTCTTTACCACGCGTCTGATAGCGCATTACGAGAGCTTCATTTTGATACCCTTCATGTCCCCCCTAACTCATCAAAAGTCCCATACTTTATCGCTTCAAAGTTTTCTAGTTTTTTAAAAATGTTCATAACTTTTTAACGACTTCGTCAAAAATCTTAAAAAATAACTTGTGTTATTTCTTCATGCCCAGCATATTTAAGCATTCTGGCAAGGTAACCATGGTCCGATTCGTTTACCTTCGCGAGATATTTCAATGCAAACGTCCCTTTTTTTATGCACCACCCTGTAGATTTTTTTTGATGCTCTATCGGAACCTGTCTCCAAAATATCAAAAAAAAACTAGCGCAAAGGACAGCAAACACATATTTTTCTCGCTTATAGGATAGGATTTCGGCAACATTACTCGTTTTCCAACCTGAGAGAACGGCATACCAATTGATTTGAACCATACCTTTTTGGCTATCCGTCGATTTCGGCATTTTTGCCAGTTCGAGCCTGTAGGCAGCCTGCAGCTCGAGAAATGAATGTTGCTGAGCTAAATCGTGAATTTTGAAGAGGCCTAGAAAAGATGCGTTTAGCGATAAAACAAAGAATTTTGCAGCGGGTGCACCCCACAGACCAGCTAGGACCCGAAGATCGGATTCCTGAAAGAGTCCCGAAAAATCGGATTCGGAAAATATTATTAATAATAGAAAATAATTTCGGGGTTCCTATTTTCGAGGAACCAGAGGTTCGTGAATCTAATTTTTCGGAATTCAAATTTCGGGAATCCGATTTTTTGGAAATCCGATTTTCGGGAAATTTTGATTCTCATCGGAAATCCCGAGCGTGCTAATCAGTACACCCTGGCGCCAACGGAGCCGTGAGGTGAAGGAATCGAAGCGGCGACGCCGCGGGTTTTCCCACTAGGCTCAAAGCTCACTGTGAGAACCCAAATCACCTACCAGATGGACTCGAAGGGATCAAGTGCCAGGGAACATCGAGATCATAGAATGGCGGAACCACCATTTTCCCAAGATCCTCTATCGTGCGATTTTCGAGCATCTCCAATGTCTAAATTTCAACTGATCTGAACGATTTAGGCAAGCGGATAAGAGTTCTTTCTACGTGTTATGTGTTATTCAAGCCCTTCGATGGTCCGACATTGTAACTGTTCCGGCTGTTTTGAGTTTTGGTATGTTCCGAGATCTTCGTGTTCCGACTGTTCCGAGATTCTACAGGGTGCGGAGAAAGTTTTGGGTGGCAGAATTAGCTATGTTTTCACAAATTACGTGCTCCAGCCTGAATTTTTTGAAGGAGAGACTGAAAAGGGCAATTTGAGAAACCGTAGGCACCAACAGATCAACAAACTTTTTCAAAATTTTTGGGAGTAAATGCCCTGAAAGCGTCGCGCTATAATCACTTTTGGCACGCAGCGCCCTTGATGCTTTTACCGTACGCCCTGTGCACCATTCTTCGCCAAAATTCACGAGAATTGGTCCAGATATTGCCAATCCTATCCTCCATTACCCCATGAAATTACAAGGCTCAGGATTTAAATTCAGAGAGTTCTGGCGCTTCGAGTTCTGAGCAATTCGCCTCGCGGTATGGGAAACAGCTGCGAAGCTGGGGGGCGTACAGCCCATAAACCGCGAAGCGCCACATTAATGATAGGTCAGGCATATGCATGTTTTAAATCAGGATGTTTGACGTCCAAATTTGTGGGATAGACATTAAAACAACTACAGGTTGAGCTTCACGAAAGGTTGAAAAGCCGGAAACCTCGGCACGCTGCTGATTTCCAACTCAATTGCGCCCGGGGTTTAGCAAAGTTGATCAAAAAATGTAAGGTTTACATGGAATAATGATTATTCCCTGTTTTTCATAATCCGGAATCCTGGAAAGCTTGGTGATAAGATCCGAAGCATTATAGCCAATATTTTATAACAGCTAAATGTGTACCTTTTCTGGAGCCTTCGTGTTTCCAAGACGATTCTTGTGCGGAAAATAATTTTTAAACCATTATGGTTCTCAGAATCGGATAGAGCACGTCCGAATCTGCGTCAACACCACAAAATTAGCGCGGTATCGCTTAGAACGACAATTTTTGGAAATAAAAATGTGCCACCCAAAACTTTTTCCGCACCCTGTACTTTTTTTTGACACATTTTTTGGAACAGGATTAGGAAGGACTGGAACAGGAACCAAGGATTCGGAACAAGAATGGGCGGGCGGAAGACGGCGAATGCTGTAACTCCTGTACCCATCCTGGTCCCTTTAAAAATATTTACAGCGAACTGATCTCGCCCAAATTTTTCTCAAAGTTACTTCTAAGTATTTAGTTCCCGAACCTCAATTGCAACAATAGTTTACGTTGCAAACAAAAGTTTCCCGAGGCCACCGCCGCACTGACGGGACATTTTTTCATTACAAAGGTACACATAGGATAACGGGGGGGGGGGGGGAGGGGGATAAAATAGCGGGGGGGCACTCATTATTATGAAATTCGCAATTACTGAGGGATTTTGCGAGTGCCATTCGATAGAACGTCGAAAAATATACTAAAAGAATTAATTTGAGCCCAAAATAATATAATGGAATTTTTTTTATTGAATAAACAAAAATTGAGGAAAATCTATGGGCAGCACATAGGATAGCGGGGGGGGGGGGAAGTCAAATTTTCGAGATTTTCGGAATTTTGAAAACGTCATTCGATAAAGCGTCGAAAACTGCCCTAGGAGAATTAATTTCAGCTCGAAATAAGGTAAATGAAATTTTTTTTATCGAATAAACAAAAATTGATCAAAATCCATGGGCAGCACATAGGATAACGGGGGGGGGAAGCCAAATTTTTGAGATTTTCGATATTTTGAAAACGCGAATCGATAGAACATCAAAAAACATACTAAGAGATTTTTTTACAACGCGAAAAAATGTATTAAAAGTTTTATAGCCTAAAAACTATTTTTGAAAACTATGGGCAGCACATAGGATAACGGGGGGGGGGGAATTTTCGGCGTTTTGATTATTTTCGATATTTTTTAAATGCCATTCGATAGAGGACCGAAAAATATACTAAGAGCTTTTTTTACAGCCCGAAAAAAGCATATTTAAAAATACTTTTATCATATAAAAAGTTTGAGTGCCCCCCCCCGTTATTTCCCCCCTCCCCCGTTATCCTATGTGTACCCATTACAAATACCCTTCCCGGTCCCTTTAAAAATATTCGATCACGCCGAAATTTTTCTCAGGGGTACTTCTCAGTATGTAGTTTTTGGATATCAGTTGCAAAAATAATTCGCGTCGCAAATTATTATTAAATTATCGCAATTTCTCGAAACCACCGCCATCGATTCATCCTGCGCTGCGCTAATAAATTTGTCTCCTTACCTTTGGTGTGAATACGGATCCGGAATCTGCATTGGATGTTATAAAATTCAACATCTTGACAAGGTCTTCCACACGTTGTATTAGTTTTTGTCCAATACGATCCTGGAATGATTCTCTTTTGTTATTGCCTGTTTCCGTCCCAGAAGTTGTATATTAAAAACAGGTTATCTTTATCGCAAAGTGAATATTCACTGGTGAACATCGGAAATTTTAATTCTAAGGAAACAACGTGTATATAACATTTGCGACTCCGGCACATTTGAGGTATTTAAAAAATTAAAATATCAGATTCTGGGATACGGTTGTCGAAAGTTCCCTGCAAATCATTTCAGCTTTTGGTTTGAGTACCCCCCCCCCCCCATACGACTCTTTTGGGTCCTTTTCCGGATTTAACAAAGGATCAAGCATCGGGTCAACAAACTGAATACACCATCGGAACCTGCGACACTTTTTGCATCCTATTCTAAAAATTGATGAATAGTACAATTTCGAATTTTAACAGCCGATTTAAATTTTTTGTGCTATTACTTTCTTTCCAACCTGATAATAAGATACCGATTCAGGCATACGATGTCGAAAATAACCTCATGTCCCTACAATGCCGTTGACACGGACCTGACCGACCCGATACAAGATGGAATACCCAAAGGGGAAACGAAATAATGACAGACCTTGGGTTGCTCGGGGATATTCACTTGTTTTACATACTGGTTACACCCAAAGCCGCGAACACGTTTACGTAGTAGCAGGCTTGGCTGTGGAGCACAACGATTAACTGAAAAGGTTAAATAAGGAAATTTTGAAAATATTGTTTGTACTTTTCGCCACTTTTTAATACATTTTTTTCCAGAAAATACTTCCTCATATTGGGTTGGAACGTGTATCTGCGCTTTTTTTCAGCTCGCTTACCTGACATGCAGAGGTTTTCAGAGCCCGGGCTCAACTATTGCGGGAAGCATTCCGGGAAAGGTGGTGCAAATTATTCCCGGAATTCCTTCTCATCTATTGCGGGAATTCCAGGCATGGATTCCCGGAATGAGTTCCCGGAATGTCGTCTCATGTATTCCGGGAAACTTTTCGAGTTTCCGGGAATGGTTTTATATAAGGTATGGTTCCCCGACAAAATCTCGGGGACAGCATTCCGGGAATCGATCTTCCCATTGCTCAAATTTTCTGAAATTTTCAGGAGTTGTCTAGAAACTCGTTATTTGCCGGCCCGCAAAATCTCGTAGTGAACAATCGGTTCTGAGGCCGGTTTTGGAGGTCCAGATAGCCGGATTTTGACTACAAGACGCTCCAAATGGCGTTTTTAAACTCGAATTCTCTGGAAAAGCTAAGCCAAGCCTAAGCCAAAGCTTACCTCATACAAATCGCGTCTCAGCCTAGCTAGTGCCAGGCTAACATATAAGCTTAGCTCTAAGCTTAGATGACCTCCTAAAGCAAGTTAAAGCTCAAGTTAAGCCTACTAGGGAAGTGCAAATAAAAAACCCAGCAAGCCGCTTGGCAAAAATATGGGTCTGATAAAGTTGACGACGGGGATTCCGAATCTCTTGTCAGAATTTGATTTGCAAAACGCTTAATACAAAAAAGTTATGAACGTTTTAAGTTTTGCAATGCTGGGCCTGCCCTCGCTTATCAGCCTCTCGCAAAGAAGGGTTCCGTCCGTCGAGTGGTGGAGTGGCTAACAACTTTTTTTCTCTTTTTCAACTTTTTCAAAGTTCAAAAGTCCAAAATCTAGATTTTTTACATTTTCTTTATTATTGACTACATGTATGAATGTCGGTTGTAGGTTATGGAAAAGCTTATGAAAAGAACATGAGTTTTTCACGCACTACCGACAAAAGTTCCTGCAGTCCCGCAATCACTTTGAAACCGTTTTCAAAAATTTAAAATTAAAATAACTTTTTAGAGGTTGGAGACTTTGAAAAAGTCTAAAGTTCTTGTCATTAACCAAAAAGCAAAACATTTTGCATGACCGGGGTGCCGAACCATAGACCGTTGGCTCAAGCAGCAGTTTACTTAGCCACTACACCACTCGACAGACGGAACTCTTCTTTGCGAGAGGCTCTAAAGCCCTACGATTCATCCTTAATAAAAACGCGCATGAGAGGGGGCGAGGGGGCTAGACTACGGGGCGCTCCAATACCCCTCGCGTAATGCATTGTTAAGCTAATAAGGGGTGCTATCTTTTCCACTTTCAACTGACTATAACTTTTTTCTGAGAAGATTTCATAATCTACTTGAGTGTACAAAAAATAGAACAGCTTCTGCTCTATCTTTTGGTCAAGGTTTCATGAAAATCGTACACGGCAATCGGGCGCCCGGTCGGTTTGAAGTTGAAAAAAATGAGATACCCAAGGCAACGGGCATCATAGAGAAGCTAAATGTTTGTCTATAGCGCCTCAATTGCATTTTTTTTTGATAAACTATAGACTAGCAACTATCCAATAAAGTGCAAAATCGCATCACCTTGACATCTACATCAGGCGGCAATAGAAAGTTAGTTAAAATTTTCAACTGGCAATACTACTTTTTCCTGGCTGTTCTGGAATCTGCTTGAAAGCTAGGAACACAGGACAAACTTCGCTATATCTGCCGCAACCAGTTTTAGAATTTCGTAGCGTTGTTCGGTATTTTAACAGCGATCGATTTGGATATATGCATGAGCCCGCTGTTAGTTTTTCATCCATTCTGCGCGAAAGAAAGTGATAGGATGCTTCTTGATTCGTCTAGTGTGATGACATTCCACTAGGAACATTTTCCACAAAAAAGCAAAACGAAAATGCGGAGGCCTGCGAACCCGGGAACCGAACCCGCGTCCCCTGTCTCGGGGCTGAACCGCCGCCTTAGACCACTACACCACGCCCCGACCGCGCTCTCTCTCTCTCTTTTTATTTGCACTTCCCTAGTTAGCTTGGGCCTCGGCTTGAGCCTAACCTCAGCTACGCTTACAAGGAGTCGTTTTTAGGTGATATTGGAGTTTTTGAGCGAGACCTAGCTAGTTCGATAGAGAAAAAAAATTCTGAAGATGTCGTTTTCCAAATCTGATAAACGTGTACGGTGTTCGATAAAAATTCATTTGAAAATGATTAATTTCACCATCATTTTCTGCCTGATCCGCAGATTCTACGCTCTGGGTGCGCGTCAAGATAACCTCCTTCAGGCCCCCGTCCTGACATGATCAGCTGGCCTATTGGTAGTGGGCTTGCTCCATAAGTTTTTCTTTTTTTGGCCGCGGGATCGACTCCTAGCGAGCAAAAGTCTTTTGCTTTTTGATCTCTAATGCCAAATTTTATTCGAAAATTTTGAGGATCGATGGGTAAGGCGAGCGGGAAGGGGGTCATGAAGGGTCGGAGGAATCCGGCCCTTTTGCTGACGGGAGGGGGAAAGGTGGTCTCTGCGCTCTCTCCCTGGGCGCCCTCGCTCGCCCTCTCTGACCCAGTTGCTACCTGCCAATTATAGATGACCCTCATCTACGTGGGCCCTCCTTATCCCTTTAAATGAAAAAGATCGACACCAACCTCCTGCACTCTGGGAATCCGCTTTCAGGATCGCTTGTATCTGAAAAAGTATTTTAGGACAATAACAAAAAGTACTGTCACGATCAGTGGCGTACGAGGGGGGGGGGGGGCAATGCCCTGTTGCCCCCCAACCCCAAATCGGCAGATGCCGAAAAGTTCATAAGGGGGACGCTTGTGATTTTTTTAATAAAAATTTTTCCGCCGGCGTCGCCGTTTATTACTGTTGTTAATACAGTTTTTATTGTCCTGCAGCCTATTTTTCCAAAATGTTTCGCCTGCGGCGCTGGTTTTTCATTAGTGCAGCGATTGTCCATAAAGAAACTCTCGCTTTTCAAAAGGTTATTAGATTTTTCCAGGTCCGGTGAATCGTTTTTCAAAACCTCTTTTTTTGTTTGTGATTTTCAATCTCGCTTCAATTGCCTATCGTGTTGAGAATTTTTCTGATCCGAATGGTATATTTCATTAGTGACGTGTCGCCTCTTTGGCACCTTCCAGGAGTCTGGACTATCGCGAAAATCACCATGTTTACATGGAAAAACAGGAGTCAATCCCAAGTCTCGCCAAATCAATTTCTACAAACTTTCGAATTTCCAAAAAGTCGAGTTGAGTATTAGGTCGAGCCGACTTTCGAGTCGTCTTAAAAATCACAAACTGTTGGTCATAAATTAATTCATGATAGTTATTGTGTGGAGCATCAAAAGTATCAGGTTGGAATGAAAGTTCTGTCGCCGAGATTTTGGGAGGCTGGCTAAATTCGTAGCTCTATTCTAACATGCGAGATGTCATTTTGCTGCTCTCGACCTGAATCGTTTCGAGGGGTCCTAGCCCGCCAAAGTCAAGAACAGCCGAGATACACGCTCTGGAAGTTTTTGCACAAAATCACTAAAAGTGTTTTTTGTAGGTTATCTTTGCATACAGCCATTTGCATGCAATACCTTTAACACCAATCGATAACTCTCGAGGAGTAGATATCGATAAATGTTGAGATCGTCAAAATTGGACACTGGATGACCGAGATATGGCCCCTTGAACTTTAGACGATTTCTTAGAACTTTTCCCCATTTCCCATTTCCCATTTCCCATTCCCCATTGCTACAGCGCGTTTTATGCGCCAAAAACGAGTCAAAAATGGGGTTGGGATGGCGATGGGATGGATTTGAATTCGCGTAGCCTCTGAATTTGCACTCCGACGCTCTACTCATTGTGCTACAGGGGCCCGAGACGTTGGGTACGGGTTCGGTTCCGCGACATCGAAATAAGACTAATTTCTTTTTGTTCTTTGTTTGGAATAGCTTCAGCTTGTTTTCCAGATGCGTTCTGATGTCTTTATTTTTCGAAATTAGAAATGTCTTTTTCGTGGCCATTTTTGACGCATAAAACGCGCTGTAGCAAGAGGAGGCGAGCTGGTTTGCGGGTAAACGACACCATGTATCGGCGTAAAAAAATATGGTGCATCTTTCTACGCCATTTTCGTCCCATCGCGATTTCTAGGCGAAAAACGCGGAAAAAATGTCCCATAAAAATACAAAGTTGTTAATTTTGTTAATCGGAGATATCAAAGCACTAAAAATTCGAAAATCTCAAAAAAACTGTTTTTGCTTTGCAATTTTAGCATGTTTCGGTCATTTTCGCGCTTTGCGATGTATTAGAGAAATAATCCCCATCCTAAATTAGGTATCGTCACAAATTTTCAGCAAATTCGGTGCAGTAACTTGCGAGATAGTTTTTCGGGGTCGGCAACGTCGAGGCCCATTTCACGGGAGACTTTTGCCGCGACAATGGCGCGCACGGGCCGCGCCATTGCCGCGCACGGCCCTGGCGCTAGACAGGTATCCAGGGCACGGGCCACGCACGGCAATGGCACGGCCCGTGCAGTTTTGTCGCGGCCCGTGCACGGCAACTGCGCGGCCAGCGGGTATATTTTTCATGGCTTTTTCTATGAATATTCGTTCTATTGCTTTTAAATCTGTATTGTGCACGCCATATTGGTACACAAGGTTAATACTTATAATATTTATTCTACATAACATTCACCAAAAGATAGAATCCGTAAATGCCAGGAGAAATAAGGAAATCACAAGCAAAAAGGAAATAGTAGTTATCACAATAAAAATAATAAAAATAGCCGTATTATTATATGGTACAACACATGGATAATGGTAAACAGAGGGCCAGGGCCAGTTTAAACTTTTATCATAATAGTTTAAATATTATTTTTATAAAAGCAACGTACCTATTGATGGCCTAAAACTTTAGGTTGGTTTAACTGGTAAAATACCGTATTTTTGTAAAAACTACCTTGGCTTCTCCAAATTCCTAAATCTAACCCTGGCCAGGGAAGGGGGCAGGCACTTTGTTATTTCTCTTATGTTTCCGGGCGTCAGGTCTCCGCGCAGGCTTCTGGTTTCATCGAAGGAAGTTGCGACCGTCTGGGCGAAGCGCCTAAAAAAACTATCAAGGATACTTGGAATTAGCTACCTTTATCCGAAGCGTATTTCCTGGACAGTCACAACTCCCACGTCATTGCAGTGTGACGTCCAAGGGATGTAGTCGTCATGAAGATACCTATCATCAAAAAAAATAAAGACAATCAAAATGGCCCGAGAAACAAGCCCCAAAGATTTTCGCTAGAATAAGACGCATAATCAGATTACTATTCACGTTTCGATTGACTGTTCACGATTTCACAATCAAAATCAATTAAGTAGGTAATTCTCTAGAATTGACGCGTTTCACTTTCCAAAATTCGGTGTTAAAAAGTCCCCCTGCCGCGATACTCAAGAATCTAGACGTTCCAAATCGTTGAATTGTTAGTCAAAATGGTACTGATGTGGGGGACTTTGTCAGAGGTCCACTTCTATATTTTCACGATGTCTATTGGAATTTTTTCAACGCCATTAAATATAACGTAAAAAAATACTCAGTTTTATTTACACTGCAAAATACTCTAAACTAAAAACTATGGCCAAAAAATGTTTTCTGGAAGTTCCCCCTCCCCGCATAATAGATCAGTAACGTCGAAATTATTAATACTTTCCTACTCGTCAGGTATCGGCTAAATTAAGATTTTTCTTTGCTCCCCCGCTAAAAAATAGTTCCACTAAAGGAAGGCAAGGAAGAACAACTTACTACCTATCATGTGCTCCAAATGGATCGACTCGGGCGCAACTGCCGAAGTATTGCGCAACGACCTGATAGACCATACACCAATAAAAAACATTAGCTTACTTTTGACCTTGAAGTGGTAGAGCTTGCATCGTTTTTGCCTTGGTGGGCGCTTTCTTAACAATCTTAAAAACAAAACTTCAATATTACTACTCATTAATTATATCAAAACATGGAAAAAGTAAAATATCTTTTAATAGTTTTTCATCATCTTGAAAATATAGCAAACACGATACCAAAGTAATTCAAAAACACTTACTTCAATTAGAAATGAAGAGCAGACGTGAAGAAACAATGTTGAAAATGAGAAATTTTTGTCCGTGTTCCGTCTGGACGTATTTTACTATCGACGTCGGGCCGCGCCTTCGCCGTGAACGGGCCGTGCACGGCTAGCGCACGGGCCGTGCGCGGGTGCTAAGCGGCAAAACTCGCCACCGAGCCTCGCGCAATCCGTGCACGGCCCATGCGCGGCTATGCGCGGCAAGTGCGCGGCTGGTGCGCGGGAACGGGCGGATCGCGGCTAGCGCACGGGCCGGTACCGGCTAGGGCACGGGCCGCGCACTTTTGTCGCGGCTAAAGTCTCCCGTGTTAAACGAGCTACGAAATGCCAAATATTGGGTGACAGCCCGAAAATGGGAGCCCTGTACGTGGGCGGCCTCTGTACACCTAGGGACGCGGGAATGTCGCACACTTGAAATTCCCTGTTGTCACCGCGAAACCGCGTTCTCGGCTGTTTCTGGGCCAAATTTGATGATTAAAACACCAAAACTATTAAAAATTGGCTGAGGATTTCAAAAATGGGCTCAGAATGCGCAAATTATAGTGTTTTCACAAAGAAACCGGGCAAAAACAACTTCGCCCAAAAATCGAAAGAGTGAGGGCTCTCGTCCCGCTGGCAATTTGCCAGAAATCAAAGAGCCCTCCCAAAAGGGCTTTGATTTGGCAGTTCGGAGCCCGGTTAAGCCCTAAAAATAAACTTTTTAAACTTTCAAAAGTATGCAGCCCTACTAATTCGACTATGCACCTTCCGATGCCGTCTGTCGAAACCTTTCTGCTTATTGCAGAGGTTCGAAGGGAGTTTCCTATCCCGCGCCCCTTGCCTGTGATATCGTAGTCCCTGGCGACCCCGGAGACCGCGCTCTCCGATTATTGGGTCAGTTCCTTTTTTTGGGACAATCCCCTTTGGGAACAGTTCCTTTTTGAGAGCAAGCCTCCTTGCTACCCAATATCGTCAGAGTTGAGCCAAAACCTTTTGTATTACTTTTTGCCAACTGTTTTTAACCAGAACCTTGTGACCAAGCGATGAGTACAATTGTATCTCAGTTTTGTTCATTGCCGATAAATCTTTTGTCTCTAGACAATTGTACCAAAATGCATTTGGGACTCTTTAGAAGATTTCTACCACTGAACAATCGAAGATTCATCTCCTGGTTGTGGCTACTTGGGGTCGTGAATGTTTCTTGGCCTATGTCGAGGATACTACAGGGTGGTCCATAAGTATTGTCGCGCTTTTTGGCCGGCTGTATCTAACCGGGGCCGTGTGCGATTGGCTAGTTGAGCGTATGCCTTATGCAGTTTTTTCTCCTCTTTCCGATGTCAGGATAGGCTGCACGATCGTATTGAGATTTGGAGCTGATAGCACATAGTTTCTAAAGAACCTCCAAATTTCAGCTTAAAAATGGCTTTTCAGAGGCTCCGCTGGGGACAAAACAATTATGTAGTCATTAAACCTGCTTTTACAATTGAAAAAACGAGTAAAACTCTGCTAGCAGAACCTCCAAACAAAAATTTTCGCATCTCGGTTTTTGAGCAAGCGCTATTCAAAGTTTCGGGGAACCCTGTGCGCCGCCCTCGGCCTACCCCGTATGTAAAACTGAGATCGTGGCTGCTAGAAAGCTGAGAAAACTGTGACAATTTTTTTGGGTATAGCTAAGGCTTTTTTTCAACTATTCCCAAATTTTAAGCGCAGAATTCCACTTGAAGTCCAAGACAATCGAGATTTTTATCTAATGGCATACGTCAGCCAATTTTAGTTCAAATCAAAGTCTGAAAAGTGACCGGAGCCTAGCTCAATATGCCATTGGAAAGAAGACGTCAGGTAGCATAGTAATATCATATAGGATTGCCCCTGGGTAGCTCTAGGGAGAGATTAAACTTCGCAAACTATAAAATGACGGGATGCCTTGAATTTGCGCATTTTCGTCCAAAATTGCGGAGGCCATAGCTCCTTCAAGCGACAAGATAGTTAAATTTCCATTTGGGAAAATGCAGAACAATGCTGAAGCTACCATAAAATCTGGCTGGAAAAAATCATCCTGGCTCTCAATCGCTGGATTTAGAGCCCTTTTTCCCGAAATTCTGGCGCGGCGCACCCCAACCTTTTGTCGCCCACTTTAAACAAATTATCTGGCTTAAAAACCATTATTCCAAAAAACTTTGTAAAGCAAAGTGGTTTCTAAGGCTTGTCTGAAGCTAACCTACTTGGCTAAATGGCTCAAATCGCTCAGTGGGAAAAGATATGACGCTTTGAAAAACGACAATACTTATGGACCACCCTGTAGGTTCGAGGGCGGTGTGAACGGGCTCAAGGGGCAAATGCAGAAGATATAGTGGCAAGTCCTTACTCTAGATCTCAGTGATCCTTTGGTAGAGGCTAGAATGCGGGATAGACGATATTACTTTTGTCACCGTATAAAACCAGCGTCGAAAAAAACTGTGCCACGCCTATTTCGCTCCACCCGCAAACGGCCTTTTCACACTTAATTTTTGGGGTTTAAATCGACGTTGAAGTTGAAAGCCTGGCAAATTTATCTCGAGAACAACTCGACAGAATCGGTTTGCACTTTCTGACCTGGCAACTTCTACATGTTAGGGACGTTGCCAGTCCTATTTGTCTGTTTAAAGGCGCATTCCGCTCTCGTTCCGAACCACTATTCAGTGGCGCGAATTTGCCTCTTGGGCGGCCCGTCACAGACCCTGCATATCCTCTCGCCCCGACCCCTCTACCCTCTCTCCCATAGCCGAGTGGTCTATGGCGCATGCCCCAGGTGGAGTGGTGCGGGTTCGGTTTTGCCGGAGCTCGAGCACCTACCGCGTGCTAAACTGTTGACCATTTCAAGACCTTTGAAAACGAGAGCGGAATGTCCCTTTAATAAGCTCCTCAATATTTAACTCACGTGGCTCACGTTCAGTCCAGTCAAACGAGACATTTCCAGCAACTGTTGTTCCGTGAAGGGTAATGGGTTGCGTGAACGCATCGCACGAATCATGCCCAAGCTAGTTCGATTGGCACCCACGTAAGCGCCGTCTAAATTTGTTGAAATATTAGGTTGGAACAGAAGTTCGCGCAATCAAACTTTGGAAATTTCTTTCTGAAAATTGGTGGGCAGATACCCTACCAAAATTACAGGTTTTTAGCCCGGGCGGTTTTAAGATTTTTGCGATCATCTCAAGTTTTTGACCCGGACACCTTTCAGAACCAAGAGAAAGTCACCATAGGAACTGATCGTCACTAGGATAACAAGTTATATTTACCGGCTGCATGTTAGCAAGCCAAATCTGTCTTGTAACGGCGGGGCTGAAGCCGTTTTTCATTTTCGCCTAGATCCAGCTTTAAAAAATTCTAATAGATTGATTCAAGAAAGATTTTGGTTATTGTCCGTTTTCCGGTCCAATAATTACAACGAATGAAACAAAAATGCACGAACGTTAGTTCCAACCTAATAAATACAAACCGAAGGCTTGCGATTCCCCGAGTTACGGAGAGTTAGGGCATTTCATGCAGATGAAGGGCCCCAAACCGGGACTAAATCACTAACCTCCAGCGGGGACATCCACTTCAGGGGCTTCCAGGTACGCCTTCCATGGGTCAACTTTAGTCTCTAAAAGATTTGGAGATAAGACGCCAGCTGCCCGCCACCCCCATCCCAACTTGGCACGTATAGGTCTAAAGTGTCTGGAACTTTTCTCTCTAAAGACCCCTAGAACCCTAAATTCCCGCTAAAAGCAAAAAAATGCACTGGCGGCATTCCAACCAGGGATTGATTCCAGGTCATTTCCCCTAAATTCGTTTCCCCGAACAGTTTTTGGAGGGCATTTCGGCTATGAGGGGTATCTAAAGCCATCCGCAAGCGATCTAAGTAGTTTTTGGAAGGTATTTCGGCTATGAGGGGTATCTAACAGGGGAAGTGCATCTAGTTAAGTTGGCTTTTCGGCATGGGACCAAGCACATGTGGGGTAATCGACTATGCTGAGAACGGTGCCGCTTGCAGAAAAACCGGAAAGACCTCGATTTTCGAGATAATTTGATTTTAATTTATATGGAGAATCAGGGTTCGGCGCGTTCAGCTGGCTGGCTCTGGCTCACTAGTTCGGCGTACCCTCTTGAACCCTCCACAGACCTCTCTTCCCATTGACTTGGCGGCGCAGCGGTAGTGCTCGCATATCAAGCAGGGGGTCTGTGGTTCGACTCCCGGATACGGCCATAATTTTTTGCTTTTTGCTTTTTAAGCACTTTGAAAAGAATAATGATGTCCGAAAGACTTTTACGATGTTATTTTTGGTTCGTTTGATTCTACTAGAGGGCCAGGGACAACAATAAATTTGCAAAAAATTTTTGGAAGCTTTGCGATTTTTGCCTGCGGCGGCGATCCGTTTTCCCCAGGACCGGTGCTTTCGCGGTCAAGCAATACAGGGTGTCCCATAAAAAAGCACCCCTCCGGCATTTCGCCGTATTACATCGAATCGGTCCCAAAATTGGACCAGCGGTGTAGCAGACCCTAAATAACCACAATCCTGAATTATAGCCCGCCAGCTACAGTAATTTTCGAGATACAGTAAAAAAAAACTTTATTATCCGTTTTTCATAAGGTTTACGTCGGAATCCACCCTTCGAATATTAAGTGAAAATGAAGCGGCAAGACTTCTTTACCCCTAAAATTTTTTCCTCAGAAAATTAATTAAATAAACGTTGATTTCAACAATTTTTGTAACCGAAAGTCACCCCCGATATTAAGCGAAATTAGGGATTCTCAGCCGGAAGTCGATGCAAATCGATGCAAACTCCAAAAAGATAGCCCAAAAAAGCGTTAAAAGTCGCATAGAAAACGGTATTTTGGCGATAACTCGAAAATTACTGTAGCGATCGGGATAAAACTCAGGATTGTGGTTATTTATGGTCCGATACACCCTTGTGCAAAGTATGGGACCAATTGGATGTAAGGCGGCGAAATGCCGGAGGGGTGCTTTTTTATGGGACACCCTGTACACTTGTTGATTTTTTCATATCATTGTCATATCCCCAGGCAGCATCTCCGATGGGAGTTGGTGGCAGTAATCGGCCGATTTCTTCCAAAAAATTTTGAAAATTTATTGTTATCCTTGGTCTTCTAGTAGAAAAACGAACCAAAAGTAACGTCGTGAAAGTCTTTCAGGCATCATTATTCTTTTCAAAGTGCTTGAAAAGCAAAAAGCAAAAAATTATGACCGCATCCGGAGTCAAACCACAGACCCCCCTGCTTGATATGCGAGCACTACCGCTGCGCCGCCAAGTCAATGGGAAGAGAGGTCTGTGGAGGGTTCAAGAGGGTACGCCGAACTAGTGAGCCAGGCACGCGCCGAACCGTGATTTTCCATACAAATATTAAAATCGAATTATCTCGAAAATCGAGGTTATTCCGGTTTTTCTGCAAGCGGCACCGTTTTCAGCATAGTCGATTACCCCAAATGTGCTTGGTCCCGTGCCGAAAACCCAATTTAACTAGATGCACTTTCCTTGTAACGACATCAGGAAGCTATCGAAATTAAAGGGGGCTTTTTCCTTACCTCCATTGATGCTGATATCCTCCTGAACATAGCGGTAGAGGTCTTTCCCGAATAAACCCTTCCGGAGCCATTTTAGTTTTTCTAAAAAGTGGACTTTTAGTCAAATGGAGCATCATGTCGTAATGTTCTATGGCTGCATGGCAAAGACATGATCTTTTCGATATGTAGCCGAAAATCATCAGTTTTTCATCATGATCATCAGAAGACGATTGACCAGTTGCGCAATGCTAATTTTTCTGGATTTAGCAAAAACAGGTTTTTCAGCGCCTAAGGGTCTAGTTTCAGCAGTAAAAAGGCACAGTCGAGGTAGACATTTTGAAAATTTGCAGATCTGCTGTGTAATTTTTTTCACGGGACTGCTGGGATACGTTCTGTCGAGCTTAACGTGCTGAATTAATCGCGAATGTCATAAAGTCTCTACGCAGCTTCTCTGCAGAGTTTTGAGCAATATGTTAGCTCCTGGGGTTTTAGCAAAGGGTTACTATGCGTATGCCAGCTGACACTCATTTATCTTAGAACGAGATGTAGAGCGAGATACGGTACTTCCGGAAAAGGGGTCATTTGCATACGCAAAAGTCGCATGCTCCTTGGGGTTTATTAGGGGCTTCTACGTCTCTACCATCAGCTGCGAGTTAGTCAATTGCTAACTAAACAGTTGTTTAAAACCCTACAAGGGTTTGGATCCCTCAGAACAGCACTTTGGACTGACTCCAACCTATCTTCGGACACGCCGCCAGCTTACCGGTTTCATTGATTGTTGACGCTTTGCGTAGGTTATTAGAAAAGCGTTGAACCAAGTGTTTAGAGAGCCTTTTTAGTAGGAAATAACCCCTTTTGGCACCCTGTGTAGCTAGAAAATTTCGGAGAATGCCCCAGCCTCGACTTTCGAGCACTCCGTGTTACTGACATGAATGTATTGACCGAAATTGCCAAATGGGATTGTGATCTGCGAAATGTCCCCATGGCCTCTAAAAAGCTGGTTGATTGGCTCTATTGAATTTAATCAGCTTCGCAAAACACAAAATGATCAGGAAATTGCATTTCCCATCCACCCTCCAAAAATTAGAGCCCACTATCACTTGGATCCCGAGATATCCTCTAAAAAACCTTTTTTCGACCAAAATGGTACGGGTTTTTCACTCTTTTGCTTGTAAAATCCTTAAATGACAAAATTTCGAAAACAAAAATAGCTTCGCCGACAAAGGTGTTTTTCCAGCTCCCTGGATTTCGAGAAGGTTCAAAGAAATGGGGCTAAATTCCGACAGCAGGAACTCTTTGTTCAATTTTGATGATCTCAACATCTATCGATATCTACTCCTCGAGAGCTACTATCGGTTCGTGTTTTAACGGTATCGTATGTGTTCCGGAGCGCCTTCGAGCGCCCCCGCCTTTCCCTTTGTTCCCCGGCCCCTCGCCTATTCAGTGTTAGAGTGCATAGAAGCTTTCACGTACTTTTCTAGGGAACTTCCCCGGCCTTTATCTTCGCGATCGAAATCGTACACCCCTGCCCATGTAAGTTATGGCTTGATTTGTAACTTGAAAGTTTTTCATTCAAAATGGATTCGGTCACCATAAGAAGCGTAATATGTTTGCAGGGGCGTAGCCAGAAAAAAAGGTCCGAAAAATTTTTTTCGAAAAACTAAAAAAAGTAACGAGAAAACAGCGAAAAAGGAAAGCAACATTTTGGAAAAACGGCTATATAGCTCTACAAGTAGCAGTAAAACGTGAAAAAATAGCGCCGCAGGCGGCAAAATTTTTGAGAAAATAAAAATCATAAGGGTCCCCCCTTATGAAATTTTCCGGCCCCGGCCGATTTCAGGGGGAGACGGGGCCCAGGGGCCCACCTTACGCTACGTCCCTGTATGCGTGGTAAAAAAATTTTGTCTATCGTTAAAGAAGAGACTTTTCAAGGGCTACCGGTGCCTCTTCTTGTTTTTGTTCAAGACGTGTTTTACGTCTTGAAATGAACACGTCGTAAAACACGGCCATATGACCAAAAACCGAGTGGCTGTGTCACTTGACGCACATGGACCGCAATCTATAGGCAAACTGAACGCAATTGTTTACCTGGTTTCTGAGCTGTGTCCTCCTCCACATTTCGTTTATGGAAGTACTCAGCAATCTGAAATTTATAATGTGTCCGTCGTCGGAGTATGATTGATGGGCTAAAGTTTAACTTACCCCCCCCCCGCCCTCTTTCAACCCTGTCCCCATCTAGGGCCACAAAGTATTGACTTTGCAAAAGTCTTGCCGAAAAACGATCACCAAAAAATAAAAACCACGCCGCCCTTCCTTTTTAGATAAAAAGTCAAATAAAGTGTGATTTGCCATAACCCGAAAACGGTAAAGGTTGCTTAACGGGGGGACAAATAACGGGGGGTGGAAACAATTTTCATCCTATCGAGGTGTTTTCATACCTATAGGGACCTGTCGTGTCAATTCAAGCATGCCATCGGATAGTGCCCGAAAAATATACTAAGTGAATTAATTTTGCCCGAAATACCACAATTTAATGAGTTATTAAAAGACCGTCCGCCAGCTACCCGACCTGTCCCCATTATGGCTTGGCACAGTTTTTTTCGACCCCATTTTTTTGATGCGATCGGAAAGAGCATGTTCGAATAAGTAGGGCTGCATAGTTTTGAAAGTTCAAAAAGTGATTTTTATGGTTTAAATGGGCCTAACAGTTGCCGACCACGAAAAACTATCTTGGAAGTTACTGAACAGAATTGGCAAAAAATTTGGGAATATAACTATTTTGAGATTGGGATCATTTCTCTAATACATTGCGAAGCCTGAAAATGACCGGAACATGGTTAAATTGCGTACTAAAAACAGTTTTTTTGGGGTTGGCGACTATGCGGGCGATCGAGCGCCACTCACACGTGGTATGGGAAGATGTGCGACATTTTTCTGCGTCGAATGACGTGTCAATTATTCGGCGCTCGATCGCCCGCATATCTTAAAAAACGCGATTTTTATGCCGAAAATGGCGATTTTTAGTCGAAATCTGGGGTGGGTGGGGTGAGAGGTTTTCGGAATCCGAACAGGCGAGAGAGTGCGGGCGACCCTGAGGGCCCAGACAGGCAGACAGCAGCCCTGGGGGAGCGAGTCGGGTGCTGCCAGAGAGCCCCCGACTTGACCACCCTAGCCGTCCCTGCCCTCTGCGCTCGCCGCACTCTCTCACCCCACCCACCCCAGATTTCGACTAAAAATCGCCATTTTCGGAATAAAAATCGCGTTTTTAAGATATGCGGGCGATCGATCGCCGCATAATTGGCACGTCATTCGACGCAGAAAAATGTCACACATCTTCCCCTACCACGTGTGAGTGGCGCTCGATCGCCAGCATAGTCGCAAATCCCAAAAAAAAATGTTTTTAGTACGCAATTTAACCATGTTCCGGTCGTTGTGACTAGGCCTGTACGAGGGGGGGGGCACCGGGGGCACGGTGCCCCCCGAAATCGGTCTCCGAAAAGTTCATAACCCCCCCTCGTACAGGCCTAGTCACAGCGGGACCCTTATGATTTTTTCGCAAAAATTTTTCTGCCTGCGGCGCTGTTTATCACTGGTTCGAAACGATTTTTACTTCTAGAAAACCTATTTTTCTAACATTTTTGCCTGCGGCGCTCGTTTTCATTAGTGCACCGTTTTTGCTTAACAAAATTTCGCTTGCGCGCGCTGTTTCCGATGTGTTTTCACATGAATTTAAGCGTTACAAATGCGGTTTTCTAAATTTTTCGCCTGCGGCGCTGTTATTGTCGCTATTTTCGAATGTTTTGAAAGTGGCGAGCGGGGGGGAGGTCGCCAAAAATTTTTGGGTGGGTGCCCCCCGAAATCTCGGCTCCCGTACGGGCCTGGTTGTGACCAACCCTGCCCCGGATAGAGGATCAAAAAATATACTCAGAGATTTAATTTAAGCCCGAAATGATGTATTATAGATTAGTATAAAACCAGGGTTGAAGAGCCGCTTCGCGACTTTTCAACCCTCGGCCCGTCTAACCCCATTTTATCCTTCAGTTTGCATAATTGTCCTGCATTCAAACGACAAAAAATGAAAAACAACCTCTCCCATCCCGTTATATAGCCGAATCCCAACTTCCGGTCTAAGCTAATTATACCTAACAAAGAAGTTTTCACAAAAACCTAAATTTAATGTCGAAAATAGGTGATTTTGTTGAATCTAAAATGCGTGCATTCATCTCCAGACCATTGCCCACCTAATGACGTATCATACGTACTTTAAAATTCATCCCCTAGCGAGATATCGTCCGGACAGACAGACGGAAGTGGATGCAAAGTGACACACACAGACACTATTTTTTATATACAGTGCGTGCCAAAATGATAGGGGAATGGCGTTTTTAGCCGTTTTCTCGGCCGTCCTCCATTTCCGTGTAAAACAAAATCATAGGTCTGATAGCCCCAAAAAAGACGCGTCTTTTGGTCTACTTAAAATCTCCTTATCCCAAAAGATCACGTTTTTAGAAGCGAATGTATAAAAATAGGCAAATAACACAAGTGACAAAATGATAGGGGAATCATTAACATATCATTTCCATCAACTTTCTGTATGAATAGTGGATGTTGATTGATTTTAATTACAGATTCATAGCGGGAGAAGATGTAAAAATCGTATTTTCTGGCCAAAATTCTGACCGGAAGTCATCGATCAAATTTTGCATCTAATTAGCATCCACTATTCATACGGAAAGTTGATGGAAATGATATGTTAATGATTCCTCTATCATTTTGTCACTTGTGTTTTTTCCCTATTTTTATTCAATCGCTTGTAAAACTGTTATCCTGCATCGTAGAAAAATTTCAAATAGACCAAAAAATGCGCATTTTTCTGGACTACAGAGACTGTCATTCGGCTTTACAGCTACATAACGGACCGCCAAGAAAACGACCAAAACTTCATTCCCCTATCATTTTTTACACACTGTATATAGTAGTTTTTATTTTTGTGTGTGTGTGTGTGTGTGTGTGTGTGTGTGTGTGTGTGTGTGTGTGTGTGTGTGTGTGTGTGTGTGTGTGTGTGTGTGTGTGTGTGTGTGTGTGTGTGTGTGTGTGTGTGTGTGTGTGTGTGTGTGTGTGTGTGTGTGTGTGTGTGTGTGTGTGTGTGTGTGTGTGTGTGTGTGTGTGTGTGTGTGTGTGTGTGTGTGTGTGTGTGTGTGTGTGTGTGTGTGTGTGTGTGTGTGTGTGTGTGTGTGTGTGTGTGTGTGTGTGTGTGTGTGTGTGTGTGTGTGTGTGTGTGTGTGTGTGTGTGTGTGTGTGTGTGTGTGTGTCCGGCGCCAGGGAGGGCTACTTTGCATAATTCCAAAAAAATACAAATTTCCTCATTCTTGAAAGTTGGACGCGCGGGTGTGGTCCCGAGGAAGGCAGGGGTCCGAAGGACCCAAGCTATCGGAAAGTCAAATTTCTCATGCAAAGGCAGAATTCCAGCGCCCAAGGCCCGCGAAGCGGGTTTTGGGCGCTGGTTATATAATAATTATATAATTAGTATTAAAAAACAAAAACATCGGCTGGTCATAAAGTAGCCCTAGCCGTTGTTTGGGCCGAAAGCAACCAAATTTCTGAACAATGATCCCCGTGTCAACAACTCAGAAGCGCTCCGTTAGAGTCTCCCATAACCGGGCCTGTGTCCGAACTTTTCCAAGCCTTACCCGGTCCTTATGGACGCCTGTGCTACGCTCCAGTTCTATCAGAAGCGTTGGTATTTCCGCTGCGGTCGCATTCCGATGCATTTGAAACAGCGGTTCCAATAATTTCGGAAGCTGCACTGTCGGGATATGAACGGCTTAACATTTATTTGGTTCATTAAAAAAAGACTCGTTACCTTTCTCCGCGATCAGCTTATCACGCACCCAGATCTTTGCTGGCAAGTTTTCTTGGCGGCCGTACATTTTCCTGTGCAGCTAAATAGCAGACTGTCAAAGTGTTCGCGTTGCAGAAAACGAGCATGCGTGCGGGCTTGGCGGATTTGGGAACGCAGAAGCAAAAATACAAAGGGTGAGCGTCACCACATGCCGACAGAGGGAGTGGGAATCCCCCATAGCCCCCGCCCCTATTTAGGTTACCTGAAGGGTGTTCCAGCCTGTTGCGGCCGTCAATGCATTCCAATTGTGGTTGTGGCGGTGTTTTCTCAAGGGGCTGGCATGAAACGCGTCCAGAAATTTCCGACGGTTGGCCACAACTGAAATGCCAAAGTATGGCCAGACAATCTTAAAGAAAAATTTGCGCGCGTGCAGGCTCGCGGACACACAGGGTGGCCCAAAGGCTTCCCGACACTTGCGCGGCGGACACTTGCGCCGCGGCAATTGCGCCGCGGCACATGCGCCGCGACACTTGTGCCGCGGACATTGATTGATTTAACCGTAGGGGTTTTATTTAGCGTTCATTTATATGTGCTCACTGTTTTTTTGCATTAAAACTTGACCGGAAGCGAGTGATGTCAATCGGCAGCGCTCCTCAGGGTGTCAGGCAAGGTGGGCCGTCGCTTCGGATGGGCTACCGCTCCACTATTTCGAAATGGGGCGCCTGGCCGCTACGCGCACCTCAGGCGCGCGTATTTTGAAATACTGTATGAGCGCCCATCCGAAGCGACTGGGACCGGGTGACACGAAGCCTAGTCGCAGAGCGGAACAAGTAACGGTCACTTTCCCTCCAAGTTTGAATGACTCATTTCGCAAAACGAGCTTCTTATCGTTTCTTACATGGAATTCGGAACCAGCTCGAAAAAATGTCACCTTTAAGTAGCCTACTAACAAGGGAACCTCAAGTTGGCACGGTGGAGTTAGGAAAAACGCTCTCTGCCCCCAGATTTTCGATTATGGCGATTCCAACGGTCTAGTCAGAATTTCCTTAATGGGCCTCTGGACAGAGATACACCACTTCCGGAAAATCACGATTTACGTCTCAGAAATCAGCATTAGCGATAGGTTTATGAGGCTCTCCCAGCACTATGGAATCACCAGTTGAATGGCCGAGTGGTAAGCACTCGCTTGATAGGATACCGACAAGTAGACCTCCCGAACCCCCCTAAACCCTCCTAACTAGGGGGGTTGGTAGGGGGGTTGTAGGGGGGTTCGGAGGGGGGGGGGGTTGGAAGGGGGGTTCGGAGGGGAGTTCGGAGGGGGGTTCGGAAGGGGGTTTAGGGGGGTTTTTAGGGGGGTTCTTAGGGGGGTTGGGAGGGGGGTTTAGGGGGGGTTGGGAGGGGGTTCGCCCGGTGAAATGATATACATATATGAAGATCTTTTCAAATTTTTCGTCTTTTAATCAATTAAAATAAGTAAAAACTATCAGACAATAGTTTACAACCCCAGGGGAATATATTTCAGCTATTTTGGCCCTCAATTCGTGTTTCCCGAGTGTTTTTTTAGCAATTCTAACCGGTTTCCACCGGTTTTTTTTGTCGGTATTGTGGTTAGCAAGCACCAATGGTTGTCCTACAATTTTTACAGCACAAATTTATAATGTTTCGATAAGTTTTTACAGTTTTTCTCACCAAAATTGTCCTAAAAATTGAGTTTCATGGGTAGTTGACCGCATCCGAATGATTGTTTATATTTTCGAGTCAGGTGAATCATTTATAAACCACATCTGAGCCCAAAAACAGCGTTATTTGACTAATTGCGCCAAAAAACTAATGGGGCGCCAAATTGGGGCTTAGGGGGGTTGGGAGGGGGGTTTAGGGTGGTTTAGGGGGGTTCGGGAGGTCTACCGGCAAGGGTTCGAACCCGCTCGCGATTTTTTATTTTAATTTTTGAGCGGAACTTTCTGCCCAACCCCGAGTTTTGATTTTACGATCGGAAATTTTTTGGTTGTTGTGCCAGCCTGACTACTCCAAAGAAGCCTCAGAAATCCGAAAAAATTTTTCGAACAACTGGGTTTCTGGGTTTCAATCTCCGTTTTTTTTTCGCAAAAGGTTTGTAGGATTTGTTTGGATAAGTTTTTTTTGCATTTTCTGCTTTCATACTACAGTGACAGAAAGTTCCGTTCAAAAGCCAAAACACAAAAATCGCGAGCGAGTTCGAACCCTCGTCGGTATCCCATTAAGCGAGTTGCTTGCCACTCGGCCATTTAACTGGTGATTCCATAGTGCTGGGAAAGCCTCATCAACCTATAGCTAATGCTGATTTCTGAGATGTAAATCGTGATTTTCCGGAAGTGATGTATCTCTGTCCAGCGGCCTATTTAGGGAATTCCGGTCACTTCGCCTAAATCCGTTTCGCCTAAACCCGTTTCGCCTAAACCCGTTTCGCCTAAAACCCGTTTCGCCTAAATCCCGTTTCGCCTAAAACCCGTTGACCTAAAAGACGTTTCGCCTAAAAGACGTTTCGCCTAAAAGACGTTTTTGGCTCATGCTTAACCGGGAAAAAAAAGGCAATTTCATAAAGGCTGCATGCGTTGCATCAGAAGATTGCCCTCAAAATTCGCGAAGCGAATGAGATCGCCTACATGCCGAAGCGCAAAATCAGCCGGGATTTTGACGAACAACGCGCGATGTGTGAGGCTTACGACGACAATAACCCGCGAGCCCTTATCGAAATTATTTACAAGACTCTGTATTAATCATTGAATGAATAAACCGTCCTATGTTCTCCTTACATCCAAGCAAGTCGTTTTTGCCGACTACCTTAGAGTTTACCCGAAAGGGGTTTTAGCCGAAAGGGGGTTTTAGGCGAAACGGGATTTAGGCGAAACGGGATTTAGGCGCAACGGGTTTTAGGCGAAACGGGATTTAGGCGAAACGGGATTTAGGCGAAACGGGTTTTAGGCGAAGCGGGTTTTAGGCGAAACGGGATTTAGGCGAAACGGGTTTTAGGCGAAACGGGTTTAGGCGAAACGGATTTGGGCGAAATGGCCGTCACTATTGAGGAAATTCTAACTAGACTATTGGAATCTATTGGAAACTATTGGAAACTATTGGAATAGTCGAAAGCCTTGGGATATCCGCGAGCGTTTTTCTTAACTCCCCCCCGAGATCGGCCGAAGGCCGAAAAGTTCTTAAAGACTACCAGAACGATGGAACGCGCACTGTCACCCCGAGGGTGCTGCCCCCAAGAACGCGCGGAGAGATGCGTCATTAGTGCTGCCCCGTACTGGGCAAAGGCCCTCTGGGGTTTGGGGCGCCTCTGACTCCCTTCCCCACTTGGCCCTGTGGTGTAGTGGCTAGCGCGTCGGACTGTGGAGCGAACCATCGCGGGTTCGACTCCCGCCCGGTGCGCAACTTTCTTGCTCTCAACCGAATTTCATCGTTCTGACGGTCTTTAAGGGGGGACTCTTATGGGGGGAGGTCGTCGCCAAAGTTTTTGGGTGCCCCCCCGAAATCTCGGCCTGCTCCCATGTAAGTGGCGTGTTGCGGCGCAAATTTCAGTCAGGCGCAAGTGTTGCGGTACCATCCCAAAAGCATCCTTGTTGAAATCCTGTTTTTTCCGCAAAAAAGCAGCGGACGGGATTGCATTGCAGCCGGCAAAATCCTTAGGGATTCCATTAGTGTTTGACACCACCCTCACATCCAACCATTGTCATTGACCGCAATATATGAACTAGGCTATTTTGATTTGATTTCGAGCCGTTCGCGCAACTCGACGCGAATCCGCAGACGTCATTTGGTTGCATCTCCTCGAGGTTGTTGAAGTCGGCGGACGATTTCGAGACGTTTTTTCTAACCACTCTATCAGCAAATCGGCCCAAAAGCTGCCACTCGTTGACCAGATAGAGCGTCTCGCGCTCTTTCCAATGGTGGGTTCTTTAGGATGTCCGGGGGGACCAATTCCTTTCGTGGCGGTCCCGGTTGACCTAGTAATCAAACCTAAAGTGTTTTCAGATTGTTTTTAGTAAATTTTAACTATATTTAAAGTAGAAAAACCTTCAGAAAAGTTTGAAAAAGTCGAATATTTGGCCTTTTTGAGTCTTCCCCCCCGCTAATCTTAAAGGTTCTTTAGTATTTTTCGACCAAAATTAAATTTTTGAATTAAAAAGTGTGTAAGTTTTATGCTTAGAATAAGTTAAAGACAATTTAGAAACGCATCCGCTATTTATAAAAAAAATTGTTGGCCCGTGCCGAACAAAACTCGACAAGTACCCCTTGCGGCACTAGAACGCTCCGCTCTCTGTCCGCAGACGGTTTTGAAGAACGGCAAGTGTACCATGCGAAAGACCGTTGAAAATTCGAACATCTCCACAACTTGAAGCAATTCTAGCAAGCTTCATTAGGCTTTTAGGGCCGTTAGAAACAAACGTCTCGAAATCGTCCTCTTTCAACAACCCCGGGGAGATGCTACCAAACGATCCCAAAAACCGAACGGCTCGATAATGATGTTGTTCACCCCAAAAGGCACCCCTGGGGTGCTTTTGAAAGCACCCCCGGGATGCGTTTCCGGGCGGTGGGGTGCTTTTAGAGTACCCTCTTCCCGGCCGGGGTGCTTTTTTCCACCCTGGGGTGCTCGTTTTGGGGTGCTGTCCAACATTAGAATCCATATCGGACGAAAACTATAATTAAGCTTTTTCCCTCCCTTTAAGCGGTGTTTCGAGCCACAACATTACTTTCAGAAGCCGTGTGGGTTCCATAGCCATGCTTCGACGCGAAATCTGAAAAAGGTTTATTACGATTGCCCCGGAGCCAATAGACCACACTAGCATGTCGAGCGGGGTCACCGAGAAAGGCTATAAGCCCACTCCCCAAGAAAGCCGAAATGGCGGACCAGACGGAAAATAAGTCCAAATTTAATGATTTTAAAATCAATCTTCTGCCATCTTGCTCAGAATTTTTTCTCTATCGATTGAGCTAGCTTTGATTACCAAACTGGGATGTCACTCAAAAGCTCTTTGTGAGTAAAAACACTTTACAGTTAGGCAACGGCGCTAGTCCCTGCCCCATCACGGATGGTGTTGGGGAGAA